TTGAGGACGGCGGCGGTGCCCAGGAAGCCGACCAGGGCGGCGACGGCGATGAGGTTGTGGCCGCAGGCATGCAGCGGGCCCGGGTCGGCAAAGGGGAGGCCGTCGTACTCGGCGTTAAAGACGACCAGATGGCCGCCAGACCCGAATTCGGCCTCATAGCTGGTGTTGAGGCCGTAGGCATGCGGGGTGACGGAGAAGCCCTGGGCGCGCAGGAACTCGACCTGGGTGTCATGCGCGAGGACTTCTTCGTAGCAGAGCTCGGGATTTTCCCAGATCTAGGACTGTTAGCTAGCCTACAGCGCCAGCGTCGCTGGATGGACTGCATACGGACCGTGCGATTGATCCGCTTCAGGTCATCGTCCACCTGGGCGATGCGCGCGTCGATGATGTTCTTGACCTGGACCTCGTCCGGGCTGGGGACGGGGAGGTCGCTCGCCATGGTGAGCGGTTAACTGAGGCATGAGGTGGAACTGGGTGAACCATTCTGTTAGTGAACTGAATGAACTGTTCGTTGTGAGCTGCTTCGCGATCTCCACCTTCGCCGATTGCAGCACGTGCCGGCCTCGTGACACGCACGACCAGCCTTGCAGCACGAGAATTCGAGTATTTGGATAATTCGAATTGGACAGTCATCTTGTTTGTCTGAAACAGAATAAAACGAAACAAAATAAATAAAACAGGGTGCTGTGAATGGCTGCATGCCGGTCACGTGGGCGCGGTCAGCTGTCCCGTCGGGCAGAAATCTCGCGGCGCTCGTCTGGCTTCAATTCTTCTCCTTCGATCCTTCACTCGCGATTCTTAGTCGACTAGATCTCGGCGAAATCTGCCAATAACGCGCCCCTGCCTCGCCAGCTCGCTGCGCCGGCGCCAACAGCCCGCCTCGCGCGATGCGAACGCCAATGGCCACGCTATCCTCGCCCAGCCTCGTGTGGCTCTCCGTCTGACCGCGTCCGTATCTCTGCTGACTGATGCCCTCGCCGATGCAGACTGAGCGCAAGGGCGTCCGCTCGCGATCCGGTGAGCTGCTGGAAATCTTTTCCCCGACGCCTCGCTAATCAGAATCTCTGCAGGCTGCTGGACATGCCGCGAGCGCAAGATCAAATGCGACGAAACGCGCCCCGTCTGTAGGTATACTCCGTCTCCTCCTCTTCTTCTCCTCGCTGACCACCCCAGGCCAGCGATGCACCGTTGGCAAGCGTGTCTGCGACTACAGTCCCCGCGAACCACCTCGTCGGCCCACCACCGTCCGCGCCATTCTCCCCAGGACCGCCGAGCCCGCGGGCGGTGCAGCGGGCATTCCCTCCATTAATATTAATATTGGCGCTGCTGGCAGCGGCCGCAGTCTCAGTCCAGCGTCGGTGGCTGCTCCGGCTGTTTCTCTTGCACGACCCCCCGACAGCTCGCCCGACGATGGATCCGTCAAGACTCCGCCGACGCCCGCTGGATCGGAGAGCAGTCGCGGAGGCCCGTCCAGCGTCCACACCAGCCCGCCCGCCTCCACTCCGCCGGACCAGCTGCCTGGCGGGCTGGGCGAGCTGCACGCCAGCACGCCGCAGGAGCAGCGCGTGCTGGACCATTTCAAGTCGCAGTTCCTCACCACCATGCAGACCAAGACGGCCAAGTACTCGTTCGTCGCCGGCATCATGCATATCTGCCAGTCGAGCCCCGTGCTGATGCACATGATGATGGCCATCGTCGGCCACCAGGCCTCCGGGCTGTACGAGAGCTGCGAGGAGCAGCTGTTTGCCATTGACGAGTACCGGAAGGGCCTAAAGGGATTCGCGGAGCTGGTGGGCTCGGGCCAGTACGAGCGCCACACGCTGCTGGCCGCGTTCTGGATCCTGATCCAGTTCGAGATGCGCTTCGGCCAGCGCGCGCGCGATATCACGCACCACCTGGACGGCTTCAACAGCGTGCTTCTGTCGCACGGCCCCAGTCTGCTGCCGCAGCTGATCGACACGTCCAAGAAGAACTCCCACTACGATCCCACGCGGACCGAGTTCCAGTACCCGTTCCGCACGCCGCTGGTCACGTACAAGAACGTGGTCAACCGGCTGGGCCTGTGGATCGCCTATCTGGACGCGTGCGCGGCGAGCTTCGACATGGGCGGCGCCGTCATGGCGACGATGCAGTACAGGTATCCGGGGTCGCTGGACCGCATCTTTGCCCACTCGCGCAACGCCCTGAAGGACCTGTGGGGGAACGAGTACCCGCGCGAGCAGGAGATGGACGACATCCAGAACCGGCCGGCCTTCGACCTGTTCCACCACTGCCACATCTTGCGCTTCAAGGTGGCCGAACTGCGATGGGACCGCAGCGTGGGGAACGCGCGGGCGGAGAAGATCCGCGAGCTGCACGCGGAGATTGAAGGAATTGCCGAAGTAAGCGACGACACGTATCATCATCATCTAGATGAGTGGTGACATGCTAATACTGTCTAGCAATACGCCTCGCTGATCTCGATCGTCGAGGGCCGCGACCCCTCGTCGCAGCCGACGTCGCGCCTAGTGAAGAACTTGCGCTTCATCGTGGCGACCTTCCACGCCGTGGTGCTCGAGTTCAACCGGGTCGCGTACTTCCACGCGCCGCTGCCGCCCGAGGGCCGGCGGGCGGTGGAGCGGATCCTGGACCTGGCGGTGGTGGTGCACGAGAGCGAGGGCAACGACGCGCTGACGCGGCTGGCGTGGCCCATGTTCCTGGCGGGCATCGAGGCGTGGGACCGCGTGTACCAGAACTGGCTGATGGAGCGGCTGGCCGGGCTGCGCGGTTACGGCCGCAATGTGACGCGGGCGCATCGCCTGCTGGAGAAGGTGGTGCGGCATCAGCGGAGCGTGCCAGGCAGAGTGGACTATTTCCAGTGGTTCCGGAGCGGCGAGGCGGAGGAGTTTGTATTGGTATAGACAAACTGTTCAGACTGCTTGTATGTCTGTTTACATGTATGTGGTTTACATGTATCTGTTGGTTAGCGTGGCGTTTGGCGTCTATCTTCTTGTGTTGTTGTCTTTTCTTTCTTTTTCATCGAGCGAAAGCTTTCGAGTATATACTATACATCATACATACATACCTACATGCGTAGCTTCAAGCTGCATAACTTAATTCTAACCAATTGACTGTATCTCGCAGTCTAGTTGACTGTCTCTTAGGTATCTCCAGCAACTGTCTGTCTCATAGTCTAGTCTACTTATCAGTGGATACTCTGGTAGATAGCTACACAGCTCCCAATTCCTGGTATGACAATTCTCTGAATTACCCAATTCGGCAGGACAGCGGAAGACCCCGGCTGGCTGCTGCCTCTGCACGGGACTGGGACTTCTAGGCTGTAACTCATTAAGCAATCAATTAATGAATTAATTAATCAAGTAATTCCTTCATTCATATTCAAGTGGAATTAATAATCTAATCCTCTTATTATTAATTACGAACGAAGAAGTCAGTTGCTTATATAACAGTCGGCCGAGTCAAGATTTTACCCTTAATTATCCACTGCTTAATTAATACCAGGCAATCATCGAAGGAAAATACGCTTATTAAACAAACTTCCTGAAGTTTTCAAGTGATGTCAACGATCCCCCCTCCGCGCCATGGATAACCCCCGCGGACTACTTACCTAGGTACCTAGTCCATCAGACTCAATCTAGGGAAATATATCGGATTTCGGCCGCCTATGCCCTATTTGGCCATGATCCACGCGGATCGATCCACAGATCGATCCACAGGTTCGATAGGAATAGGGCAAGGATGGCATGAAGACTGCCCTACTTGCGAAGTTCTGGTGGAGAAAGTGTGATGAGTATGGGGAAGTCTCCATACTTGCTGGATGGAGTTGCTTTATGGAGTAGGACGGACAGACGGACGGTGTGATTTGATTGTATGTGTTGCTACCGCTGATGCTTGCCACAGGACGAGAAGATAGGTATTTATTTATTTCTTGAGCTTTGTCGGTATTCGAAGGATTCTTCTTTGTACACCGTACACTACACTACGCTTATGCTTCGACTCTGCAAACTTGTCCGTCCCATGCCATTGACACGCAAGATTCACTCTAGTCCCTCTTCTTATTGATCATTCCTTCTTTCAACACGACATGCCCCCCAAATACGCCGGCTTATCAGGCAGGCCCCTCTCGTTGGCCGTCTCGACCATCGCAACGATGGGCTTCCTGCTCTTTGGATACGACCGTGAGTCCGTTCTCTGCTGTCTGAGACCCTGCTAATGCGAGAAGAGGGCGTTATGTCCGGCATTATCAGCGCTGCCCCGTTCAATGACGTCTTTACCGCGACCAAGGACAATAACACTATGCAGGCGGCTGTGACGGCCATTTACGAAGTTGGTCAGTAATCCCGACCATATCCCATACATCTAGACATCGCTGACTGCTCAGGCTGCCTCTTCGGGGCTATTTTCGCCCTCATCTTCGGCGACCGTCTCGGCCGGCGCTGGATGATCATCATCGGCGCGACAGTCATGATCACCGGCGTCATCATCCAGGTAACGGCCTTCCCCGGCCACATCCCCCTGCTGCAGTTCATCTTCGGGCGCACCATCACCGGCCTGGGCAACGGCATGAACACGTCCACCATCCCGACGTACCAGGCCGAATGCTCCAAGACCAGCAACCGCGGGCTGCTGATCTGCATCGAAGGCGGCGTCATCGCTATCGGCACTATGATCGCCTACTGGATCGATTTCGGCGCGCACTACGGCCCGGCTGACCTGACCTGGCGGTTTCCCATTGCCTTTCAGATCGTGTTTGGCGTGATCATTATCGTTGGTATGGTCTATCTGCCTGAGTCGCCGCGGTTTCTGATCACCAAAGGCCGTATCGAGGAGGGAGAGTATGTCCTGGCCGCGCTGAGCGGGCTGGAGGTGGACGACCATGAGACCCAGCTCCAGAAGGCGCTGGTCATTGATTCCGTGCGAGCGTACGTATATCATCAGATTCATGTCCTCAGATTCAGCTAACGTACGCAGGTCCGGCGCCCTGGGCAAGCAAGTATCCATGTCCGACCTGTTCACCAGCGGCCGGACACAGCATCTCCGGCGCATGCTCATCGGCGCGTCGTCGCAGATCTTCCAGCAACTGAGCGGCTGCAACGCAGTCATCTACTACCTCCCCGTCCTGCTGAAGCAGTCGCTGGGCCAGGCAAACAACATGGCGCTGCTGATCGGCGGCGTCAACATGATCGTCTACTCCATCTTCGCGACCTTTTCGTGGTTCTTCATCGAGCGGATCGGGCGACGCAAGCTGTTCCTAGGCGGAACTGTGGGCCAGCTAGCAGCCATGACGATCGTATTCGCGTGTCTGATCGGGGGAGACAAGAGCAGCGCCAACGGCGCCGTATTCGGACTGTTTCTGTACATGTGCTTCTTCGGCGCAACATGGCTGCCGCTACCATGGCTGTATCCAGCAGAGATCTCGCCCGTCAAGACGCGCGCCAAAGCCAACGCCATATCCACTTGCAGCAACTGGCTGTTCAATTTTACGGTCGTCATGATCACGCCTGTTATGATTGAGCACATCCGCTGGGGTACCTACCTGTTCTTCGCCGCCATGAACGCCTCCTTCCTCCCCGTCATCTGGCTGTTCTACCCGGAGACGGCCCACCGCAGTCTCGAGGAGATTGACCTCATCTTCGCCAAGGGCTATGCTGAGAAGATCAGCTATGTGCGTGCGGCTAGGGAGTTACCTAAGTTGTCTGACAAGGAGGTTGAGGCGAGAGCCGCTGAATATGCACCGGAGGATGTCGAGAAGGCTGTAGCTAGTCAGGATGGGGGGAGTTACTGATTAACCGAGAGTACATACGTGAGGTTGGTGCACATGGCTGGTCCATGAGCAAAGAAGACGATGACGATAAAATAAGGAAGCACCATAGACACGACACAAGACAAAACGAAGAAAGAAGGAGGAAACCTGACGAATGATGATTATTGATTACATCCTTGCTTAGAATAGAAGACCAGTGACATAGATAGATATCTACTTACATACATGTATCTATATCCGTACATGCAAATGCATAGAAATACCCCGAAAAAGCAATAGAATAGAGACGGGGATCACAAATTATCTAGTCGATCGAAATGGAAATCGATATTGTAGTAATTACTAAATAGATATACTTCCTTTTACTATTAAGTATTACGTATGTACTTCATGAGTATCTAATCTATCTGTCCATCTAAACTATGTATGTGTCGCAGCAAATATATGCGTATACTGTATGTATATTGTACACTCACTTGTATTTATTCACACACTAATTAGTCTGTATTGCTTACTACCTGCAGGAAGCTGCAGTATTATATAGTAACCTTCTATACAGTATAGGTGCTACAGTTCTATATTGTAACTACTTATGCACTTTGCAGTTTTTAGGTATTAGCGCCTATTTTTTTTCTGCTGTCTCTATACTTAGATTGCTTTAATGTTTCTTTATAAGTATCTGTCTTTACTTATAATTAGTCTCCTTAGCTTTACTATCTTATCTTACCTATTGCACTATCAGTCGCTCTAATGCTCCTGCACCCACCTTCTACTATTATCTCTATATGCATTGTTTTTTATGCCTCCACATGCCGCTCTTTTTATGGCTCTGTACATATACCTCTCCGCCTGGCCGTCGCGGACAGGTATTCAGTTGTTGGTTGGTGCCTGTGTCCTTTCTGGCGCTTTGTTTCCCAGCACTCTACCAGTTTGTTTGATACATGTAGTTAATGTACTGTGTGTAAATATACTGATGTGTAATCACATCTATTGCTCTCCTGCTTGTACAAAATACATATATGTTTACTGGTCTTAGTGTTATTCAATTAATTAAACAAGGCACTGCCCATCTATTTGTAGACAATAATAAGTAAGAGTAAATAAAGTAAGTAAGTAAACACTGTCTCCTACTAAGTAACCATTAATTACTATTTTCGACTTTGATAAAGTCTTCTCTATGTGTAATCTAGCCTCTAGTGCAGAGACGTCTGCTAAATTAGCGAATTTCTACCTAATCTGTAGGCAATGTACAGTACATCACTAATAATAGCATAATACTAGCATGGGTGTTGTAAATCATATTCTAGATGTGCCATGTGCTGTGGGCAGTGTACAGAGTACTGTACTCAGTAGTAAGTTATCAGTTAACTAACTTACTAGCTAGCTAGCTAATAAAGCAAGTATTACACAGTTCCAGTGACCATTATTATTACTATTATTTCAACTTCAATAAATAAAGTCTCCTCTCCTCTACTATAATCTAATTATTAGCTCTATTAGCTCTATTAAGGCTAATAATAATAATAATCCAGGTTCTAATTAGCGAAAAGCAGTCTAATAATTAGCGAATTTCTACATAATCCGTAGCATACTAGCATTCGTGCTGTACAGTACTGTACATTATATAGGTATGTGCAGTGTACAGAGCACTGTACTCTGTAATAGTTATCAGCTAGTTGACTAACTGACTAACTAACTAACTAACTGAATGCAATGCACTAAACTAATATCGCAGTACAATGTTGTATATACAGTACCTTGTTGATGGAAGTATGTCAGATCCATCCATCCTAATCACATAGGACAACGCCCATGACTTGAGCTGGCTGGCCACATATAAATAATCTATTTTATGTACATACATACATACATACATAGAAACTTAGAGGGTCCTTCCTCCATCATCTTATGGTTTATCCTTTATAGCAATGCTATATACTGCATTAAGCATTGCTACATTAACAATAAGTAGCATGTCTCTAACTAAACAAGGTTTAGAGTTAAACTAGGTCACTGGGTTCCTAACTAAGACTGTTTTTTCCCCCCTTACTCCTACAACACTGGGCTCTCTCTCTCTATCTTGCTCTTATCCTTCTCTCTCTCTCTCTTTCCTGACATCGAGGTTCTCTGGCGTCAATCAACCCCTCCTTTTTTTCTTCCCCCCCAATCTAGTCTTAAAGGCTTTATTTTTAATTAGGATTAGGATCTTTTCTTTATCAATCAAACCTAGAGCAGTGCGGTTAATCCTTTTCTTTTCTTTCTTTTCTCTTTATTTATTTATTTATTCTTTTTTTTCCCCTTAAAACTGGTTCTTTTCCAGGCTCACCCTCATGTCGTCCTCCTCTTGGGATCACCTTTTTTTCCCTCCTTGAGGGAGTCTAGAGTCCTGAGGAGGGGTACATACTTTCCAAGTTCTAAAGGAAACGGGAAGCCTGACGGGAGGGATTTTTCTTCATAGCAATGTTATACTGCATTACGCATTGGCAACTAACTAAACTACATGGCTATACAGAGTATGTTGTATGTACTGTAGATATATATGCTGTCCTTATTATAGAAAATAAATAATAGAATTAATATTAAGATTAATATTAATATTACTACCAAGTCAGACCAATCTTCCTCTCTCTCTCTCTCTCTCTCTTTCCTTTTTTTCTGTTCCCTTTTTTTTGGTTTTTTTTTTTGCTTTTGTTCTGCTCCATTCTGCTCTGTTCTGCTCTGCTCTATCCTGATAGCTAATTCCAGACCTCAAGACCAGCCAGCATTTCAGCATTTATTTCCTACCTGCACTGTTATCATTATTAATTAATTAGTCAAGAATGATCTATCATCTCATCTACTACAGAGTATTTCAGAGTATTATCTTTCTTTCTCTCTTCCTTTCTTTTTTCCTTCTTTCTTTCTTTCCCCTCTTTCAATGTATATACTGTACTGTACATGCATACATGCATACTATTTATTATCTAGCTAATTAGCATGCTAAAGTATATATAGCATTAGGCAAGCAATCATCAAGTTCTACTCCGTGTATACTACCGTCTCCACCATGTCAACACTATACACACTATATATGCATGAGCATACAACAACTGTCGTACTCGGACAGATATGGGATGGGATCCACTCGGATGGATGGATACCTGCTGATCCAAACTCTTCACTTTGCTTCGCTTTGCATCGCTTTGTCTTACAGGGCTATGGATTGCTAGTAGTAGGTACTGCCGAGTTGGTAGTTTGCTTGCTTGCTTCCTACTTTCTTGTTACCTACTCTAGTATAACTCTTATACATATATGTACTAGATGTATCTAGGTAGCTTGCAAGGTATGTTCGTTACTAGATTAGGGACTGACTGCCTGCCTATACTAGCTACATAAATACATACATACATACACATACATGTACATACATGATGACTAGGTCCACTAGCCGGGCTGTCCAGGATGCATTGCACTTCTTAGTCCTACTGACACAGATGCAGACACAGACACAGACGCAGTCGATCCCTGTCAATCAAGTTATCAACTCGACCGACCTCCAACCCCGCTTGTCGAGTGCTGCTGCGCTTGCAGCTTTGTCTGGTCAATTATCACTTATTTATTAAATACAATTGCACTTACCTCACTTAAATACCAGACTCACTCAGTAACTTGTCTCCTACAAGAAAGAATCACCAGCATGGCATATCAAACCAAACTCTTCATCAACAACGAGGTATGATCCAATTCCTCTTTCCATAGGATAGAACCTCCTCTAACAAACTTCCTTAGTACATCCCCTCCACATCCAACGAAACCCTCTCCATCTACAACCCCCTTCGACGAGACGCTCGTCGTCGAAGACGTGCATGTCGCTGGTCCAGAAGACGTTGACTTTGCCGTCGACGCTGCCGTGGCAGCTTTCAAGACGGGTCCATGGGGAACGACCTTCTCAGCAACAAAATGCGCTGAGATCATGCTCAAGCTTGCCGATCTGATTGATGCGCATGCCGCACGGCTCGCGCGCCTCGAGAGCCTGGCCATGGGCCAGCCGCTTTCCCTCGCCACGGCGGTCGTCGGCCAGACGGCGTCTTATTTCCGGTACTATGCCGGTTTCGCGGATAAGATACCGGGGCAGGTCTTTCCTGATGACCACGGCGCGGAGGACGGCGGCGGTGGCGTGTACAAGATCGTCCAGTGCAGTCCGCTAGGTGTCTGCGCGGGTATCGCCTCGTGGAACTTTTCCTTTCTCTACGTCGGGTGGAAAATCGCGCCTGCGATCGCAGCAGGGAATACGTTCGTCTTCAAAGCGTCTGAGAAAAGCCCCCTCGGGATACTGGCCCTAGGCGAGTTGATCGTGCAAGCGGGCTTCCCGCCTGGCGTCGTAAATTTCGTCTCTGGAGGCGCCATAACAGGGCATCTGCTTGCATCGCACATGAAGATCGCCAAGGTCGCGTTCACGGGCAGCGTGGCGACAGGCCGCAAAGTGCAGGTGGCAGCCGCAAAATCAAACCTGAAGAAAGTCTCCCTTGAGCTAGGCGGCAAGTCTGCCGCGCTGGTCTTTGACGACGCAGACCTTGATACCGCGCTGACGGCGAATTCGCAGGCCTTCCTGCTCAACTCGGGCCAGGTGTGCGCGGCACTGTCGCGGGTGCTGGTGCAGGAGAGCATCGCTTCGGCGTTCATCGACGGGCTGAAGGCGCGGTTCCAGGCGCTCAGCAACACGCTGGGCGATCCGCTCGACGCGCAGACCTTCCTGGGGCCGGTGGCCGAGCGGGCGCAGTTCGAGCGCGTGATGAGCTTTCTGGACGAGGGGAAGAAGACGAACCTGGACTTTGCGGTAGGCGGAGACCGCAGTAGTCGTCATGAGAGAGGATTCTTCGTCGAGCCGACGCTGGTCGTCGACCCGCCTGTGACCAGCAGGCTGTACACGGAGGAGATCTTTGGGCCGGTGCTGGTTGTCAAGACGTTCAGGACGGAGGAGGAGGCGATTGCGTTGGCGAACGACACGGCATATGGGTTGGCAGCCGCCGTCTACACGACCAACATCTCGCGCGCCCTGCACGTGAGCAAGAGACTCGAAGCCGGCGCGGTGGGCGTCAACATGGTCTTCCAGCCCACGCCGCAGCTGCCGTTCGGCGGCGTGAAGCAGAGCGGTTACGGCAGAGAGGCTGGCGAGGAGGGCATCCGCGAGTATCTCGAGACGAAAAGCATTACCATAAGGTGAGTTTTGCAGAGTAGAATTAGTTCTTAACTGACTTGCATCGTTCGCGCAGGATGTGATCTCAGGTACGTATTGATCTTCTGATTGGCATGATGTATGAAGGAAAGGATTGAAGAGTGATATAAGAATTGAAAAGTGATATACGAGAGACAGCCTCAGTCAGGTGACAAGGACAAGACTGGACGAAGCATGCAAAGCTATGACTTTCGACTGTGCTAAGATTCTGATCATATATATTAGCAAATTAGAACAGTGAATGCATTACACGGACAACATGACTGAGTGATGAACTAGTTTATTTTGTTAGAAAAAAAAAGCTTTCTAAAAACAACAGCAAAAGTATTTTTGTTCGTAGGCAGACATCAAGCTATAGCACAGTATAGCATCTATATCCACACATCACTCACTGTGTAATATCATCTTGATCTTGATCATGGCTCTATTATCCACCTCCCACCATCCCCTTCTCTCCCGTAAAATGTTATGGCTACTACGACGCCACTTTCGGCGAATACTTGGCAGCCGCAGCATCGAAAAAGGCGCTCTTCTCCTCGAGGTCAGTGAGGAGGGCATGATCAGGCTGGACGGAACGCAGACGACTGCAACGAAAACAAACCCAGTCAGTAAACATCCTATACCTGAAAAAGACTACCTACTTAATCAACTCCGTCCCCTCCCGATCCTTCCCACTCAGCACATTCAGCACAATCGTATTGGCAATCAGCTGCGCGTCGTCGGGGTATTTCTGTATAGCGGCGGACAGCGCGGCCTCGGCCTCGGGTAGCCGGCCCAGGTGCAGCTCTGCGACGGCCTGGCCGACGATGGACAGCGGGGCGGCGGTGTTGGGGTTCGAGGCTAGTTCTTCGTAGACGTAGAAGGCGGATTGGTATTTTTCGCCGCCCTGGAGGCATCATCAGTATTGATCATCTCTCCTGGAAGAGGAATGGGGAACAGGATGAAAACTCACCACTCGCATCCCCACCCACGATTCGGCCAGGTTGAACAGCAGCGAGTCTTGCGCCCAGCGCTTCGCGGCAGACACTTCCTTCAGCGCCAGGTCGACGTGGTTCGTCTGCAGGTAGATCTGCACGGTGAGGGCGACCCTACTCCATATCAGCGACCATCCACCACGGACAGTGGGTGCAATCCTACGCCTCCAGATTCCCCTGATGCTTCGCCAGCAGCGCCAGCGCCTCGTCCGTCTTGCCCTGCGCGTGCAGCACCGCCCCGCACAGCACCTGCACCGTCGCATTGTCCGACGCTTTCTCGGCCAGTGTCTGCGCGGCCGTCAGTGCCGCTTCCCGGTCGCCCTTTGTGTGCAGCGCGAGGGCCTTGACGGCCGCCAGGTCCGGGGTGTCATCATCCGCAACGTCAGCCAGCACGTCGGCCGTCTGGCCCAGGGCGATCTTGGCGCGCAGCTGCAGCACGCGGGCCGGCAGCGCGTTCTCGGGCGAGAAGGACGAGGTGTCGAAGTCGATCACATGCTGGTATTGGCCCTGGTGGAAGGCGTTGTGGATGTTGACGAGCTCTGCGGGCGGCCATGTCACGGAACGCGTTAGCCTGGAAACCTTACGAACAGACTCTTCTGAATTGATTAGATGCTCACCTCCCTCGGCTGAGAATGGATCCATGGCGGCAGCACGTCTCCTGCCGCTGTTGTCGTGGTCGATGCGTGGTGATGGAGATGATTATCTATCGGTGTGGTGTCAACCGGCCAGGTTATCAGACCGCGGCGGAAGGTTCGCCGAACGGGGCAGCTCTGCCGAGTCCGTCACCAGTCAACAGCACACGTCTACAACAAGGACAGTTTATTTAGTCTTTCAAATCTAATACGCAGTCTACGAGTTGATGAATAAATACTCAAACTCAAACAAGTATAGATCATTCCTACTAGGTACATGACCTCCGGACTGCTGTCAAAGCAGCGCGGAGCACAACGTCCATTCTCGCTGGACCATTGTCCCATTACCATTAGAATGCAAATGCACAACGCAACAGAGATAACCACCCGAACCTAGGCCTGCCCATGATGCATGTCCGTCACCCTGTGCGACCGATCCTGCTTCCAACCATTCCCCTTGCAAGTCCCCTTGCACCCATGTTCGGCGTGGATACCAATACACGATACAACTGGAGTGCAACCCCATACTCGCAAAACCATAACAAAACAAACCGTGCGAAGCAGCAAGAAACAGCAAGCTTGAGGAGATTTGGGTATCGTCGGCGAAGGATCAACCGGAAAACAAAACAAAAAAAAAGAAAAAAAGAAAAGAAAAGAAAAGAAAAAGTGAAAACAGAAAAGAAACAAAGCAGAGAGCGAAAGATTACAAGATAGTAAAAGAATAAAAGAAAAAACACACACACACACAAACACGCACACACACCTAAACTCAATGCAGATAAACAGTGGTCATCCCACAAATGCTGACAGCTGACAAAGTCGATGATGGATTGCAAAACACATGACGCCTCGAACCGAACTCGAACCGTAAAGACCCTGACCTGCGAGTTCAATCCGATATGCTGATTGATGCCGATAAAAAAAAAATGAAATTATAAAAAAAAAAAACGACCGTTCCTTTTTTTAATTTTCACAGTATTCAAGTTCAAGTCGTAAACACGATGATGAGCCGACGGGATCCCCTAAATCTCGGGATCTTGTGTTCATTTCAACTAGATGGATGGCTCACTCAATGGTGGTATAGAAGAAGTCGACGTTCCCGAGATGGTCGGGGTCAACGCCGGAGATACGTCTCTGCTTCGGACGGAATCGTCGTCGGAGCGCTCCTCCTTTCGCCAGGGTTTCTCGTCGCGATCGCGCTCGAGCGACAAGGCCCGTTTGAAGACCGTCTGGCCAATCTGCCGGAAGATCCCCATCCGCTCCGCCTTCAGCGCGTCCAAATCCAGCCGTTGCACCGGCACCGGCTTCTCTTTGGTGATCTTGCAGAACAGCGTCGAGAACAGATACTGGTCGCCACTCCCGTCGTACAGCGGCAGATAGCGGAATCCCTGCGACAGACTGGTGAGCTTCGCCGTGAAGGTTGCCAGTTGAATGCAGTTGTTGCTCCCAGCACTCTTCCCGTCCGGGGACGTCCACACGACCCAGCGGACAAACACCAGATCGGGATACTTCGTCTCCAGCGAGATCTTGAATCGCTCGTTGAAGATGGGGCTGTACCCGTTGCTCTGCTCGATCTTGGTCCGTCGTCGATGCGGGAGCCCGATCCCGGCCATGCCATTGCGCGCGGACACGTTCTGGCCGCCTTCGCCAAAAGCCACACACTGGCCCCGGTCATCGGCGCTGAACACTTCAATCTCAATGTAGGGATTGATGTTGTCGTCCGGCCCCATGCTACGCGGCCGCGGAAGCTGCTGCGCGGAGATCACATCCACCGAAAACCGAACGAGCGTCCGCTCGGTGGTGTTGGGCTTCTTGTCCCCCCACGAGTCCAACGCCGAGCTCGGACGGCGCAGGCTCTCGGGCTTGAGCACATAACCCGTGCGATCGGTCCCGGCAGCAAACATCGCCTGATTGATCTGCATGCCGACATCGTAAGTCTGCCAATTCAAGGCCACCATCTGCACGCCGCTGCGCCAGAACGAGTTGGGATCGAAATTGGACGACCGCAAACGGAAACCAGACGGGTACACCCGGGTGAGAAACCGTTTGTTGTGGTTTTCCAGGAGCGCTTTATTCTCCGCGTCGCGACAGATACTCTCAAAGGACCGCTCGGCAAACGAATACACGTGGTTGAATCGCTTGCTCTCGGGAGAAGTGAAGCTCTGCCATTTGTAACCACGAGTATACACCCCGAGGTCGGAAAGCTGCTTGGTGATCTTGCTCCGTTGGCGCCGTCTCTTTTCCCGCTTGGAAGAAGAGACCAGAGCGCTGTCGCTGTCCTCCGTGGCGCTGCTCAGACTGGTCGTCGTTGCCGAACGCCTTCCGGGGAACCAAAGCGACGACCCCGGACCGTCCGCACCAGGACCAATCGTCGGCGGACTCGAGAGTGGCGGACACGAGGCGAGGCTGGGGCTGTCCAACCCGGAACTCCGCACGAACGGAGAGCTGGAGCTGCGCTTGCGTCCATGGAAGGAGGGCGTGCTCTCACCACTCTCGGGCTCATCGCACGTCTTGACTTTGACCAGAATCCGATTCTTCAACTCTTCGGGAGACGGGAGGATCGTGCAGTTGGTCATCAGCGGCTCCAAGACCAGCTGTTCCCCGAGAATGTCCTTCATGATCTTGACCATGGCCAGCTGCTGCTCGGCGTTGCAATGCACCTCGAGCGAGAGAATCAGCGGGAAGTCCGAGGTCAGGAAGGCATAGCGCTTGATGACGGAAATGCAGTCGGAGAAGAGAACACTGGTCGTCATGGTCCGTCCATGGGAGACAATCGGCCGGCCGTCGGCGCCGTCCCAGCAGTCGATCTCGACGCAGCGGCATCCCTGCTGCAGGGCGGTGATGTAGGCCTCGGTGCTCGAGGCGCCCGCGACCTGGCGGCCCAGCAGATAGGTGTTGTGGGAGCTGGAGATGAAGTACTCGTTCAGGGGCCGGTCGAACCGGGATTCAGGCGCGTGCGACGCATAGATGCCGTTGGCGTCGGACTGCAGATACGACGCAAACGCGTCCTGGGTCATGCGCGGCACGTGACCCTCGAGGGGCTGCTCCGACAGGCCCTGCGCCCGTGACCGGCGACGCACCAGGCGCTCGAAGATGGACGTCCAGTAGGCGCGGTCGCGGTCCACGTCCTCCTTCTGGACGTCGCGGAGGAAGTCCAGGAACTCCTGCAGCGTGAGGCCTTCGGACGGGTCGCTGGCGACCTCGCGATAGATGGCTTGGATGTCCTTGCGATCCTTCAGACGGGCCAGAAAGTCCTTGAACTCGGCGAAGTTCAGCTTCCCCTTGCCGGCGGCGTCCGCCTCGGCGAACTGGGCCCGGATCATGTTCTTGGAGCAATTGATGTGCAGGCTGCGACACACGCTCTCGACCGCGGGCAGATCCAAGGACTCGGTTTCGCCCGGTTTGAGCCCGTGCGGAAAGAGTCGCGACATCTCCCGCTGCCAGTGCGCGCGCAGAACCGCGTCGCTCAGTCCGGAACCGGCCAGACCCGCCATGAGCCCGATCCGGTACCGCGAGATGTGTTCGAGCGTCGCCGTCCAGAGCTCCAGCGTGTAATCGTCGGGGGTGATGAGATGCATGGTCTTGACGGGCCGCCCTTTGGACCGATCCGGGTCGGCGAAGATGATGGTGAACCAACGGCTCTCGGCCTCTTGGGGCACCTGGTGCTCCTCGCGGTAATTGCGGGCGTCCGGGCCCACGCGGACTTCTTTGATGTCGTCGATGTAGAAACGCTTGGCCGGGTTGGACAGGTCCCAGAAAACCTTGGCGGCATCCAGGTCGAGGAAGAACCGGACCTGCTTGCTCTTCTTCTTGGTCACCTTGGTGAGCACCGTGCCGCGCTGGAGAGCCGAATCGACCTTGGGGGCCACCGCCGTGACGTCTCGGGGAAAGAAGGGCGTGGGATGTTCGCTGTTGATACTGGTCGCCTCAGAACCGTTCAGGGACTCAAAGTCTTCGTCCTCCAGACTGGAATCCATGGCACTCTCGCGACAATTGAACGGGCCGGACTTGCTGTCGCTCCGGCGTCGCATGATGACGGGACCGGAGCTGTGATCGCGCTTATCGTGGTGGGAGGTCGACTGTCGTCTCCGCGTCAGCTTGTTCGCGGCGCCGCGGGAGATCCGCCGGATCAATCCGGAGCCCTTGTTGCTGGCGACGGCGGCGTCACCGGGAGGGTTGGAGGAAGACGCAGAGGCGTTCCCAGGAACGGCCATGGTGTCGGGGGATTCGTCTAGCTCGAGCGGGACGGGCGAAGCGAGGGTGTTGTGGGGGAGATATCGACCTCGAGAGCTGTCAGCCGCCGCCAGGAAAGGGGTGCTGGCCGGGCTGGACGCATTGGAGGCAGAACCGCGAGGCGCAACGGCCGGACTGGACGTTGGGGTCGACGTGGACGCAGGAGCGGCAGGGATTGACGTAGATGGGAGCGAAGACGACGATGGAGAGGCAGAGGATGCAGAAGGGAGGCCGCCAATGGACGGAGAGGTGATAACATGATGCAATTTGGGGAGTCGAGCCAGCGGGGAGCCCGACAGCTTGGAGCTGGCATTCACGTCGCCATTTAAGGCCGAAGGAGAAGAAGAAGAAGAAGCAGCAGAGGCCATTGCCGGCAGGTACCCCAGCAGAGTCTACGTAAGAGACCCGTGCCAAACTCCCGAGTCACCTGGACCCGCCAAGGGACGAATGAGCAAGGGCGAAGGGGGGGGGGGGGGGGGGGTGGTACAGCAGTGGGCAGTCTGTGCGGGAACAGTCAGAGCAGGCAGTGTAATGCAAGAAGCAAAGCCACGTCTGTCGATAAATGGGGTTAGCGATTAGATATCTGCATCTTGGCCTGCCTGCAGAGCAATGCGGAGTAGCCCTTCCCGAGAGCGCTCCCAGAACGACAAGGAAAGCGAGTTGTTGGAGCTTCTGTCAGGCGAAGACTGGGCTGAGTGGATCAGTCGGTCAGCTAGGACGTGCAGGGACGCCGATTACGTTGGTTGATGGTACCTCTCTCTCTCGTATCAATCTTTTTTTTTGTGTCGTTCTTTTTTCTCCGCGTCAATGGACGGCGGCTTTCCTCGGGCCAAAGCCCGATGTCCGCGATCTCGATAGCCTGCGCACGCTCTGTGAATGCTCGCGGTGGTTGACACTTCCCCCAGGTTTTTTTTTCTGCGGTTCCGATCGTAGCTATCGGGGACGTCCCTGGTCGTCGATCAGCCGGGACGGGCCAACAAGCTCCCTACCTAACCGTCTGCAGGCAATGGGAGGGGAAGACAGGCCGGGGGAGAGCAAGGAGGGGCAAAGCGCTCTTTGGCTGGGAACTTATGCACGTAACAAGGCCAACGTGCGACGCATGGATCTAGTAGCAGGACGGACCCGAGCGGTGGCCGCGCAGCGGAGCAATTGGGCCCAGGAATCGCGCACAAATTATTACCTGAGCTAGGCGTAACGACTAACGACGGCGAAGCTCCGGGGCGCCTCGCATCCGCACGCGTGGGCGCGAAAACGGGCAAGGCAGGAGAAACGAGTCCTGCCAACACAACGCGGGTATGCAGGTGAGCCAAAGCGGAAGGACTGAGCAAATCGTCGCAGCGATCGGTCCCTCTTGGTTCCTTTTTTGGGGGAGAGGGCCGGGGGGGGCGGAGGTTGGACGTTCGAGCGTGCGTTCGTTCGGTCGTTACGTGGGGTGGTGGTAATAATAATGTCGGTCGGTCGAGGGACCTGCAGATAGTATGACGCTGCAGAGGGAAGGCGGACACGGCAGGAGGGAAAACACGCCCCAAAGGCAGCAAGCACTCATGCGACAGGCGAACCGCACATAAAGGAGCGGCGAGCGCACCCAGAGTCAAACACGGATAGCAGACGGAATGGCAGTGGTGCCAGAGTTCGTGGCGAAGAAGCAGATGGAAAAGGAGTCAGGGAAAAAAAAAGGGCAAGCCAAGTGCGGAGCCTTTTTGACTCCTGATCCTCTCTTAGTGGAAGGCCCAGTGGGCGCAGGACTGCAGGGCTGCAGCAGAGAGGAGCAGGGCAAGAAAAGGGAGAAAGTTCGAATCGAAAGTTCCAAGAAGGCAGGGCAGCGAGAAGAATTGCTTCGAGAGCAGACAGAGGACTGACTGACGGACGGACTGACTGACTGACTGACTGCTGGCGTAATAACGTAAGAACGGGGATCACGACGAGCGATCACGGGCGGGTGGGCCGCCTGCAGCCTTTTGCAGCGCCGCCCGCTCACTGGCTGACCTGAGTGCTGGCGTACCCGACAATGCGGTCCAACGGTATCGATACGCGGCCTCGGTACGGTACGCGTACGGTACGCCGCACCGTCTGTGACATACAGTACGGAGACGCACAGCTGCGTAGAAGCAGGGGAGCAGAGAAGAGCAGAGCTGGATAGACAGATAGAAGAAAAAAAAAAGTAGAATAGTAGCCCTGAAAATGAAATAAAATAAATAACAGACAAAAATGAGAAGAACACACGGGAAGACAATATAATCGAATAATCGAATAATATAGCCAGCGACCGCCACGACTCCCTTAATAATAAAACAAGAATAATTAAGTGGGCGCAAGGGGAAGAAGAGCAAGACTCGAGAGGGCGGGAAATGGGAATTCAATCGAATTAATAAATCCTACGAGGGCACGCCCATCAAAGAAAAAAAAAGAAGGTTCCCATGTCATCGTAGCAAATAAAATAAAATAATGGAGGAATGCAATGCCCTCTGTGGAGTGGATATCCATCCACCCCTTCTTCCCAGTTCCCACCACCCCCTGTTGGGCGGACAGCGGGCAGGGCAGCGGGCAGCAGGCAACTAACTAACCTAACCATTATTCCAATTATTATTACTCCGTACTACCTACCTAACCTACCTACTTTACTTTACCCGGGCGACTCGACTCGACGGGCAGGAAATGAAATGCACCAACGGTGGTGGAACAAAGAATGAATTCATTTTGCATTGGATTCGGCTGGATAGGCAGACAGACAGGCACGCCCGCCCGCCTGGCAACCACACAGTGCTGCGGCTGCTGCCCAAGATGACTGACCGCTTTGCTTTGAAATTCGCCGGACCAGTCAGTCGATCATTATAATTACCATCTTACCATGATGATGATGATTTCCACCACCACCACCAGCATCACCCTTGGGCTAAATATTATTCATTTACTTATTGTTGGGCTAATTACTTCGTAGTTGTAATTTAAATAAATAAAATAAAATAAAATAAATATCCGATCCTCACATCGCAGCCTGGTTAATTATCTTAGGTAGTGAAAAAAAAAAGAAGAATATCGGTGAGTTGACTGCCATGCAGATCCCATCGCTGTGGCTGTTGGTCGATCTTCACTCTCTTCTCTTATTTACCTAATTAATTAATTATTAAATTTCTGGGGAGAAAAAAAATACACAAGTTGGTAGAGTACCCAGTTAATAATCTCGGGTCGAGCGAACGGAGTGTTTCATCTTGAGAACATCCTCATTTACCACTCTCCCAGTCCCGCCTGCGACGATCCGCATGTCGAATCGAACTTGAACCAACTTTGTTGATCGTGTGTGGGGAAGAATGGGGAAAGGCAATTAATTAAACATTTTTTATTATTATATTTAATTATTAAATTGTGAAACATTTCACGAGTTGCTAGATTCGGAAGATAGATAACCATGAAACAAACATCCTTTTTTTTTGGGTTGGGAATTTAGGGGCCCTTTCCTTTGTGCTCGAAATTTATTTTATTGACGTCAGTGCTTACGGAGTACTGGTGGGGTCAGCCTCATATTCTCTTCTGTACACTGCCTTATCAATCTACACATTAGGTACGTAGTTACGAATAATAAATATTACATTTTCTTTTTCTCTTCTTTTAATCTGCCCTTTTATTTTATTTTTTATCGTGCCCTGCTAAGATGGGTGGCGAAAAAGGGAGAGATTCCAGCTAATACAGACAAACTTCCGTCTGCGGTAGATATGGCCCGTACGGAGTATGGGTCTATCGACCCGCGCAGCTCGTTTTCATTTCATTTGATCCAAGAGAATGACCTAATACTTTAGATAAGAACGGAGTAAGGTAGGTAGGGATGGATCGAGGGATAGCCGCGCACAGCAGAAAAAAAAATAAAAAAGGCGGCAAACGAACAAAAAACCACCACGTAAGAAATGTGTCAGAACCGGGTTTCAGTTTTGTCTTTTTTTTTGTCCTGATCTGGTTACCAAACTGGCTACCAAAGAGGGGCACTGGGCAGTCGGGGCAGGCAGGCACATGACCGTAGCAGAAAACAAACAAACGTCAAGGTCAATCGGATCTGCTCGGAGAATTCTTGCATTGCACCATCATTGCACCATTGCACCATTCTTGTTATTTGCCTGCAGAAAGAAAGGCACGGACTGGAGTGGAATGGCCTGCCGACCCAGCCGTTGGACGGTCATGGAAGGCAACCTGGGATCTCCGGTCTCTCTCAGATCCGACGGTGCCGAACCACCACAGCAACCAATGGAGACAGAGAGCGGAGGAGGGAGGGGGAGAGAGGCTCTAAAGTCAAAGAGAGAGTTTTCTTGCTGATCCTCGGATCCCCGTCACTTTCGCTGCGTGGTACAGAGTACAGCTGGCGCAGTCTGTTGCAAGACTGAAACACGGAGGCTTCTGGAGGCCTTCCTGGCGGGATCGCGATGGAATCACGCCTGCTTTCCATGGCTACGATGCCCTAACGGCGACGTTCCAACGGATTCGGTACTTGAGAAGTAGGTATTAATAGCACGAGCCGGCTGTTAGGGAGTCCCATGCACTGTCGCATCCCCCAGGTTCGACTAACCGATCCGCCTAAGGCTGCGGCAGGGATGTGGTGACTCGCATATGAGTCGGCCGGTTAGCTGGACACGGCAGGTTTCGAGAAAAGTTCAGACAGCCAAGGCTGCGTGTGTGCCCTAGCCAGCAAACGCTAGACGGGCAGGGATTATCTGGAGCGGGCAGGGCTGGCTGGCATTGCAAGCGTCGTCATGGTTGAAAGAAATTCCGGCCAGGCACGCGTGTGTGGCAGCTGTTGAAACAGGACGCTGTGTTCAGTTGCACAGGCCGTGGAACAGCAACCTTGCGGCGACATCGTTGTATGATCTGTTAGCATGCAATAACAACAGTAATAATAAGGATGACGAAGGCAGGATGATCCATGGACGACAAGAGGGGTGCCTGAGGACGAGGTCGCCGACACCGCTCCTTTCCCATCCATCTGCGGTCGCGTTGAGTCATCCGCATCCGCTAGAATGAAAATAGCGGTCAGTCAAGTGACGGCAAAAAGTGCCGATGTCAGAAAAAGAAAACAATAGTCATCGTGTAGAATAACAGACTGCCAAATAGCGCGAAAGCCGCTTGACTCCGCGTGCTGGCTGCACGAGCCGCGCAACCCCTCTCGATCACCGCCCCCGCATTGTTGGCCCTGCCATCGAGATCACCACGATGACTTCAGCTCCAGCAACCCATTGTCGTGTCAGTGGTTTATCTCGTCATCTCGTGTCTGACGCCAAGGCCCTATCAACACCTCCGAATCACCACCATCTCGAGCAACGGTTGGGCGCCTTGTGGGTGACGCTTGGCCCCGTGCGCGTGACGAGAAGGCAGCAGCACGACCTGCTGGATAGTCTGTCGATACTAGCTGTTGGCTTCTCGTACTGATGCAACACAAGAAGGGCTTTGCTTTGGCGACGCGGTGCTGGCTGCTGCGGCTGAACTCGCCGCATGCAGTCAGTTGCTTGGTCAGCCTGGTTGCCTGGAAACATGGTGATCGTGGGCTTCAGCTATTGCGCTTTTCAGCCCCAACTCGACAGGCAGCGCATTGCATGGCATTGTATCACTACAGACTCTACAGAATGGCATTGTGCTGCTGTCATGCCGTCACTAAGCGGCTGTTATCAGCCCAGTCCACTTGGCCCACTAAGGCAAGGCCGAGCGCACTGGCACTGAACATCATGTCAATCTGTCATCCGAGGCACCCTACTGGTGCCGGCATGAAGATCTCTCTCTGTTACTGTCTTCTCCACGATTGTTTTGTGGCCCTGACGGCCTGCAGCGCGGTGACGGCGCTTAGCCATGACACGCAAGCCGAGGGCCACTTGTGCGCGCGGACAGGATCTCAGATGCGGCGGGACGGTCGATCACTTGGGCAGGCAAGGCCATCATCGTGTTCGTAATGCTTTCCCTCATTAGCGAGCGGTCCAGGGACGGGTGCAGCATGACATCATGACTCCAGCGCTGCTGGCGGCGGGCGTGTCGTTTAGGCCGCGCCGCAGTTAAGGCCCGGCAATTACATCAGCGCCGCCTAACTGCCACTGCCGGCGGGCCGTAGCCGGCGCACGGTCACGGCGTGACAGGTAATAATACGGCGGTGACAGGCGCGATACGGGTGCCGAACCGTGCCTTGGAATTGTGATCCCGGGCCGCCTGTCAACGCACGTCCAGCAACATCACAGCAGTTCTCGGCAGTGGGGTGCTGTTCCAGCGGTCACCCTCGCTAGTCTCGTCGTAAGTCTCCTCCCGATGTAACTGTCTGCCGTCAACACGCCCATCGTCATTAATATAATATCAATGGACATGGATGAAGGCTGCCGGCAGCGGGTGACGGCGATCCGGGACGGCCGAGCGCTGTACCAACCGGATGGAAACGTTGCGCCTCTCTGGCCGGGGGTGTCAGTCAGCCTGACAGGCCTGCCAGGCTGACGGCGGCTGAATTGTCGACAGAATTAATAATTCCGCGGACTGCAGATGCAGAAAGCGGAGTATCTAGCAGACACTATTACTCCGTACTTAGGAGTGGCAGGTTATCTTTATCAGATTCCCTACGGAGTAATTATTTTATTACTACTGACTACTTGCCAAAGCAAGAGCACGTGCCTTGACTCGACCCCTCATTGTGCCTGCATCGCCGTTGGCACTTGAATTATTCCTCAAATAGCAACCCTGGTCGACCGGGGTTGAGTTGAACTGTCAACTTGCCGCCTGCAGCGCAGCAAAAATAAATTTCCTCTCTGTACGACCTTACCCCTCAACCAGACCAGACGCCTCGACACCCGCACTATTTTCCTGCCCGTCTATTGGCTAGCTTGTCTAATTTGCATGGATTAGGTAGGCTAGTTGAGGCCGGGTAAGGTGATTTCCTTTTTTTTTTAAAAAAAAATTATCCCGCACCTTCGACGATGACAGAAAGTAGACAATTAATATTAATATTGTATATTATTGACAGCGGCCAGCGGGCCTTTCTTTATCCCCTCTCTAACTATCCCTCACTTACCCTGTTTTTTACCCTGTTATTTTCTTTTCAACCCTTGTTCCCAGCACGGAGATAAGAAAAGTGCATGCAATGCAATGCGACTCGTCGAGTTGTTTTTTTTATTATTAATTATCTATCTCCCTCTCCAGCCGGAAAAAAAAGCCTGTTTTTGGCAGGTAGGTTAATAGTCTGCTAGGTAGGCATCATCATTGTCATCGTCATTATAGTCATAGTCCTCGTCGTGGTCGTCGTCGTATGAATTTCTCTACCTACCAGGGTCTCGAAACCATGTTGATGTTGATGTTTCACTGCGTTGGGGGGGGGGGGGGTGGTAGTAGTAGTAATAAATAAAGTAAGACAATAATATACTGACTGACCGGGAGTTGAGTGTAGTAGTATGTAGTTAGGTAAAATGAAATAATAGATTGAATTCTTCCTTGACTAGGTGTTTCACTTACTACGTATGCAGTATTATCTCGTATGTAGTATTATCACTAGTAATGACAATAATCAAAGTATGTTCGGTTTTGCTCGCTCTACGTAGGTAGTACTGGCTATGTACTGAGGAAGGTATCTATTGCACTGCAGTACAACACTCTGCAGGAAGAAAGGAAGAAAGAAAGGAAGGAAGGAAGGAACATAGATACGCAACGAATGAATGCGATATCTTTTTCTTTTTCTTTTTTTTCTTTTACTCCTGATCTTTCTCCCTGATTTATTGATATGCCCATCGCCATGATCGTCGCCATCGCCATCTATACTACATACCAATATACCATGGTATATGTACTGTATGCACATACATACATGCATATATAATAAATCCTACACTGTCCTACTTCCCTACTTACAGTCCTTACTTCTTACTTTCCCACATATATATTAACTGTCTGACAAATATCAGATGTGAATTCACTTCTAAAGTCCGGTTACAGCAGGTAATGGATTTGTCCGACGTTACTAACTTCTTCTGCAGCTTAACATAAACACCTTGATGGGTTGTACACAAAGTAATTAGATATATTAAATTAAATTAAATGGAAGGGATTAGATTAATGTGTTTGTTTTTACTGTGTCTAGTATGTACGTACTGTACATGTGTGTTTCTACTTTGAAAGCCCTAGGTGTATGTTGTATTATGTAGTACTGTCTTACGATGCTTTCAGGCTAATAGGTTAGTAGTAGTACCCTGAAAGTAGATCAGATACCTACTAGGGAAGTACGCGAGTATCAAGATGTATGTAGCTACTACGTGGCTGTGTCTATTATCTATCTATCTAAGCTGGATTAGGTATGTACTGTACTGTACATACGTATCTACTGTATCTATCTCCTCTCCTAAAAAAAAAATAGGTAGATCCAGCAGACAAGGCCGCAAGCAAGGCGATAAATAATCAAGCAATGACTGGTGCGGACCTTCCATCCGCCTGTCTATCATATAGATAGATAAATAGGAAAAGTCTTCCTCTTGGATGATTCTATTTTTGACCACTGTGAATTAACTAGTCAGCACTACTAAATTAGTTAGACACCTACCTAAGATGTACCTAATGTATGTACATACATTAGGAGTAGGTAGGTACTCTACCTAATTTAGATCTACTATCATAGAATCGCCGAGGTATCTATTTATATATATAATCCTGTATTATTAATACTACCTACCTACCTACCTCCCTAGTAGCTACTACTACTACTTACTTGCAGGAGGGGTTATGGTTATGACATTATCTACTACCTATTCTGGTATCATGCATAGGTAGTAAGGTACAACATACGCCATCGTTCCGCGGGAGGATCGATATCCCTGTATGTATATACATGATGCTCTGCAATCATCCCACGGGTGATATGCGTCGTGCATAGGTATCTGTGGTCTATCTGTCCTGCTCCTGTAATCATTCATTGACTTTCCTTTTCTGTTCTGGACAGTAGATTTTTGGCTTCATTTATTGGTATTAGCCTGGTGAGTATGTCTTTACAGTATGTACATATGTACCCAATTTTAGAAGATATCTATACTGTATATAGTCTACTGTTCATGCAATACACTCATACATGCATATATTAGTTCAATCTTCAGAGCTAGACTGTAATTTCTCTCCAAGCCTGCCAAGAAGTTACCATGTACTAGGTACTGTACATACATACATGGGCTTGTCTTAAGGGTCCCAGAAGAAGAGGGGGAGAATTGACTGGACTTACGTCATAGTTAACATGTATACAGACCAGACAAAAGAGTACAGTATAGAGTACTCCAGTCTGAATTCACTCCTTTTTTTTTCTCTCTTCTGACTACATACGTATCTAGTCCAGTAGCAACCAGCCAGTCTCGACCGGTCCAGACTCGACAGCTCCATGGATAGTCCCGTATGGTCCAGCTACAGTATGGAAGGGGTTCCGCTTGTTAACTACCTAACTATAAACTCGTGTAATGTAAACTTTGTACTGTATAAACTTTTAGTACGGAGTACCTACTTTACGGAGTACTCCACACCTGCTAGAGAATCAATCCATGGATGATTGATGATCGTGTGATTCTGCATGTAATTAGATAGTGAGTGGGGAAAAGGCGGAGTATGGAGACTTAAAAAACGAGACGAAAAGAAGAGAAGAGAAGAGAAAGAAAGGGAAGGATAGGATAGGACAGGATAGGATATGCCAGGAAAGGAATGGAATGGAAGAGAAAGGAAAGGAAAGGAACTAGCCAGCTAGCAAGCTACTCCACACTCACTGCATTAGGTGCCTAGGTACTTACCTTACCTAGCTAGCTAGTTAGGCTCTAGCTAGCTAAGATTGGTAAATGGGGCTTGTTTTTTACAAGACATCCATCATATCGTATAGCGTTTCTTTTCCCGGTGAAATTCTCCGACGTACTGTACTGCAGTTTGTTTGGTTTCCATGGTTGGTTTAGGTAGTCAGTTATCTTCAGGTCTCAGGAATAATATGACGTGCAGAAATATATCGAAGTAAGTAAAAAAAAGAAAAAGGTTAGCCAATTAAGCGTTACAATTGCGCGAACATTCTTCCATTATAATAGAGTAGATAGATAGATAGACGTAGATTACAGGTGGTCAATTTAGTTTTGTTGATTTGATTACTGCTGGTACCCAATACATCTGAAACAGATCGCGCCTTCAATGGTGAGATTCCCTTATGATGCAAGCCAGACCAGATCTTGAATTTTGTCTGTCACTTGATAGTCAACGAGGACAGACTTATGCTATTGCAATGTTTGGCTCTCTTAGCATTCCTATACTATTGTGGCATATACATAGAAATATATAATTAGGAGAGAGTGACATTTATATTATATTTTACGATTCTTTGAATCTTCTTTGTAGAAAACTGTTTTAGAGGAGTTATTTCATAGCATGACACATACATATATTTTGTTTTCTTTTCCTAAATGGCCATGTTCAATATTGAGTGTGGACATCTCTATGGGTTTGTGACTTTTGCAAAAAAGAGAGAGAGAGCAGGGAAATAGATCTTTCGATTCATGGATTAAGCGTCACGTTTAGTTATACATACAGTCTGCCATGGCCCATGACTGCATTGATCATTTTTTTCCCTGATTAGATGAGTACCATCAAGGTGTGTGTACAGTACATCACCAGGGTAGAGCAATTAGCTCATTATAATATGAAGGCGTGCTCAGGAGCAGTGCAGCTAGCTGTGTTATGATTATGATTACCTTCCAGAACATGTGGAATAAATGCCAGAAACTCCACCTCCAGATATTCGATTACCCGAGAAAGGTGGACATGTGCCTTATCACCAAATATACTTCAGATGTCTGAAAATGTTCATAGATATGTCCAATCCTATATAATTGTGCAGAATATAAGAGCTTGGATTACCTGAATGGGCAGTTCAGACTCTGCTCCTGATTCTATTTGATTGAGTTGGAGGCAATTAAATTAATGAAGTAACAGAATTGAAGCTACAAGTTGACATTGGTCAGAATTATCCCTTTTTTACTCAATGCTCTCCAAATTCCAACAGGCTCAGTCACATGCCAGCTTGACCTTGGCCAATAATGAAGTGGCTGTCCTCGTGATTTTCTGTCCCCGAATATCAACTACTTGCACATTTGATAGATAGCCAATAAACCAGGCGATTCAAGTTGACAATTACTATTAGTAACCCGTTAAATAAAATGAAGATCCTCTCGAAATGTCGTATTCCACAAAAAAATACATTTTTAATGTATGGATTGTCCGTATTTGAAGATTGAAAGAGCAGAAGCTACATACATAGCAATTTGGTCAAATTTCTAGGATGCAGTCAAAATTCAGATTCCATTAAGGAGCCCAGAAAGCGTGTTATGAACTATTATATAACTGACTCCTAGTTTTATCCCACAGGGAATTGCCTCACTTCATGTAAGCTAGCCATAATACTTCCAAGATTCTAAGGAGTTTGTATACAAGTGCAAGTATGTTGTCTATAGGATCTGCTATGTGTTACAAACAGGATGCTGCTTTGCATAATAATTATGAGGACGATATATGAGCCAGGGAAAGCTGTCTGAACATGCTTGAGAGCACTAAAGGATTAGAGGAGATGCTGAGTCTAGACTATATGTTAACAACTTAGACCATGTCTATATGCAACATTCAAGACAGAACTAAAGAGTGTATACAACCGACGGACTTGACCATAGCTGCATAAATATCTCCATACAAAACTGCACCAACAAAGTTTTAGATTGCTTAGCGAAAAATGCTTAATTTTTACAAATTTCTGAAAATCACATTCGAACCTCCTACCATAGAAGAAAAAAGATAGATGATGGAATAGCGATGTCTCAGCGTCTCGAAGAGACTGCCATCATGATTAGTATCTACAGCAACTAATTCAGATATAAGCACGTCTCAACAAACTTTAATCCAAGAATAGTTACAGATAGCATTTAAAGTCAAAAGACTAGAGTATATAACTTCAATTTTGTACAAATATTAATTCTGTCATGTGATCCATTCTTGTTCTCACAGTGATTTCTAGTGGCCCTCAGGTAGCAGTAGTGGATTATATATTATGGAAACCACATAAGAAGGAAAGATTCAGATCAAACAAATATTTGCTTGGTCATTTCTTCACAGTCACCTCTTTAAGAATATTTGCATGACTAAGAATATCAAGTTTCTAGACCTCAAAAGGTCAAAATCGCCAGTCAAGAGGAATTCCAGAGAATCGCGCAATAATTGACTGTTACCAGGGACTCCCAACATGTTAGCATAACCAGCGTCCAGCGTGGCTATCTAGCAGTCCTAACAATCCTCCATCACAATGAGTGTCCTGGTACTTTTAATTACTTGTAAGACAAGTTCAATGACCACGCGGTTAAGCCAGTATTGATGTAAGGATGGCCATTTGGGTAATGACCATTAAATAATTTATATAACCGCGATAAAAAGCAGTTCTAGTTGAACTCATATTTTTATCTTACTCTGGAGCTAGTGAAGCTATACATAGCAGGACTACAAAAACAAACAAACAAACAAACAAAAAGAAAAAAAAAGAAAAAGGAGCCATTTAAATTAAGCCCCAACCCCCAATAGACGAAGAACAATCTACCTACATTTGTACTGTTGTACTGCAGATGTCGATTTAGCAACTACCTCCTTGAGAAATCCAGTCAGTATCGAGGTCACTACCTACCTACTTACGCCCATCAGTCGACTGACTGACTGACTACCTTGATTCACGACCCCTCCTGCCCCAACTGAGGTTCATTTCATTTCACTTCATCGACGGAAAAAAAATGTCTGCCAGCCCCATCTATGTATGACAACGTTCGTTCACCACAGCCTTATATAACGGCGATAACGCCATTGGAATATTATTATTAACTGTGTTGACAAAGCCCTAATACTTAGTAGTGGAAACTTTATTTCCAAAAATGTTAAAATGTTAAATTAATGGCGACCGACTATGTTGAAGAGGTTATACAACCAGCAATTTATTTATCCTTGACTATCTATATTTGGCATCCACCCAGTCTGATATTATCGAAATAGCTAAGCTAGCAGACAATAGTGTATATTTGTCGTCATAGGCATTCACTCGTCCCATCTATCTATCTATCTATTGTAATCCGTAGAGAGAGCTGAATCTCTGCGAGGTACTTAGGCGGCTACAGCTACCCTCAAAAGCTCACTCCGGGCGGCAGCTTTCGTAGCCAGCGTCTCCATCGGCGTATTACCCAGAATCTCGAATGTCGCCACGTCCGCGCGCACAACCTTACGGAACCACTGGCGGAGTTCCATAGCGACGAGCGAGTCAACGCCATGCGCATTGGCTGGCTTGTTGACGTGGATGTCCGCACGGTCCATGACGAGGATCTTGGCGAGCTTCGTTGCTAGCGCGTCGCACACCAACGCCGCGGCAGCATCCAGCGTTGTGGCTACAGGAAGAAGCGTGCCCAGGGCGTCGATAGCCACGTTTGAATCTGCACTGCTACTACTGCCAGCGGGAACACTCCCTCTGGCGCGGGTAAGGTAGCTGAAGACTGGTCGCTGCAGCCAGTAAGGCTCCTCGATGCCTTGGGCGCGCAGGGCAGCCGGTGTCTGGAGGCCAATGATGACCTGGCTCTCTTCGGGCGAGAGAAGCGGGAGCGAGTCGTTGCAGTAGTACTCGAGCAATCCCAGAATGTCTTCCGTATACACGGGCGTAGCGCCCCGAGCGGCGAGCTGCTCCGCCAGCCCGACGTTCTTTGCGACGAAGCCGGCGTCGACCACCATACCAATGTCAATCGACACAGCTTTCTCTCCGCAACTGATGCGGTAGCGGGCAAGGGCGTCTTGGAATGCATTCCCAGCGGCGTAGTTGGCTTGTCCAAAGCAGGGCGCAACGCCGACGAGCGAGGAGAAGAGGATAAAAAAGTCGAGATTGCGAGGTAAAAGGGCGTGCAAGTTCCATGAGCCATCGATCTTTGGCTTAAGCACTGCATCAAAGTCTTCCTTTGGCATGGTATCAAATTTGCCGTTCTACGTGTGTTAGCTGGGTCATCTGGTCGATATATAGGTTAGCTCACCTTGAGGACCATTGCTGCTTGGATGCATCCCTTTATGGGCGGCATCGTCTTATTGACTTCCTCTAAAATAGCTGCGAGAGACCCTTTATCACTAATATCGCATATAGGCGTAGCAACGCTTGCCCCAGCTGACTTCAGTTCATCAAGGAAACGGAGCGTATCCGCATCCTCCTTTTTCGTCCACGAAAGCAGTATCAAGTGCCGTGCGCCTCGGGAGACCATCCAACGAGCGACAGTTCGTCCAAGACCGCCTAAGCCGCCAGCTATCAGGTATGACACGTCGGATTTCAAATTGTAAGTCGGCAAAGAGCTTAGGAGTGTCTGCGACAATCCACAATTAGGCGTTGCCTTCAGAGTTGATGCTTCGCAACTTACCGGCACAATATCGTCCTCGCCGAATTCAATCACCATCTTGCCACTGTTCCTCCCGCTTTGCATGAGTCGAAGGGAATCCTCGAGCTGGCCAAGTCGATATACCTGGAGTGGCCTGGGAGCGAAAATCTTCGAGTCCGCCGCAAGCTCCAGAATCGACTCCATCAGTTGGCCCGCCATGCCTGGCTTTCTGCGCATGATGTTCACGAGGTTCATGCTGGCAAACATGGTGTCATCCGCGAATGAAGCCATTGGCAACGACCCGAACGTATTGATGTCTTTCATCCCTGTCTCAACGAACCGGCCAAATGGAGCGATGCATTCCCAGGAAGCACGGAGACGTTCGCCGGCAAGGGAGTTTACCACTACATCCACACCGCGCCCGTTGGTGAGCTTTTTGATGCGTTGAGCAAAAGCAACCGATCGGCTGGAGAAGATATGGCTGGGGTTAATCTTGTACAAGTCAATCAACAACTGCCTTTTCTCTTCCGTCCCGACCGTCACGAAGATTTCAGCACCGAACAGTTGAGCAAGCTGGATCGCGGCCTGCCCAAGCCCACCGGCTCCGGAGTGGATGAGCACCGATTCGCCCTGTCGCAGATGAGCCAGGTTTACCAGCGCATGGTATGCTGTGCAGAAGATAACTGGCAATGCTGCAGCCGACTGGAGGTCCACGTTCTCTGGGATGTGACGAGCCAGCTTTGCATTGCAACGGCCGTACGTTCGGAATGACCCTAGAAGAAGAGCGCAGACACGGTCACCGGCTGCAAAGCCCGATTCCACTCCCGCTCTTGTTACAACACCAGAGGCCTCAAGACCAAGGGTAGTATCGTTGAGCTGCCCGAGGGCGGTCAGTAGATCCCTAAAGTTAACCCCACTGTACTTGACAGCAATCTCAATCTCATCTGTCTGTAATGGATCTTGAGCTTGTAGATCGTCGGAGAATTGAAGCGTGTTCAGCAGACCAGGGTGTCCGAAGCCGAGTTCTAATGCACGCATAGGCTTTTGACCGAACATGCGCGGCTCGGGTTTACACTCGGCACTGTCTTGAATGATGTGCTTGTTGACAGCGTTGGTTTCAAGCACACGGCTAATATGTATAAGCCCATCCCGTTCTATATACTCGGCCTCAGCGAGCGCCGGCGGTCCTTCACGCATGGAGTCCATGACTTTCGCGATATTCGCCACTGTCGAGGGTCCGACGCATCCATCAGCAAGAGAGAACATCGCAAATGACAGGCTTTCGTTCTCAGCACGATATGCGCTCAGCACACCACGTATCAAACTGGTAAAAGGACTTGAATCCGCGCCATCTGAAACCCATAGAAACGACTTGCAGGACGCGAACACTTTTTGCAACAGCGAAAAGTTACTGTCCGATATCCCGTATAGCAGGGGTCCATCGATCTCAGGAAGAAATATGTAATTCGTGGAAGCTACGCTGTCCGCCGTTATGTCTGATAGAGGAACAATCCGGCAGCCACGTCCAGTATAGTGTTCCTTCAAGCTTGCTGCCAGTGCCATTTGCTGGTGAGAATGTTGATCGACGACAATGGCAATATTTTCCAAAGGCAAATTCTCACAGAGCTCTCCGGTAGCGGTGGAAATCATGGCGCTATAAACGTGACATCGTTCATGCTGGTGGTTGCGAAGCGCCGCATCAACGCCAGAGAAGCCGCTCTCCTTCAAATGTGTATGCCACCATTCTTCTGACATCAACGGTCCTTTCTTCCGATGCTCTTCTGTGCTGAGCCACCAGCCAGAGAATAGCCCAAACACGAACTCGAGCTGCATAAGATGGGCGCCGGTGATTTCGATCAGGATGATATGTCCTCCAGGCCTGAGTAGCTTTCGGGCATTTTTCAAGGAGTTCTGAATAGATGTTGTTGCATGGATGACGTTGAGTGCAACTATCAGATCATACGCTTCAGGCTCAAAGTTCTGCTGCAAAGGATCCTTCTCGATATCCAGAACGGCGAATGTCATCTGACCTGCTTCTGCGTAGGTAGAAAACTTCTCTCGGCCACGCTGCAGGAAACCTGGTGAGATGTCTGTATAGCAATACTCCGCGAAGCGAAAGACACCCGACTTCTGTCCGGGGTGATTAGCTAGGGCATCTATGATGCGGGCGGTTCCACTGCCAGTGCCAGCGCCAATCTCCAAGACGCGCAAAGCAGGGTTCTTGTGTGAAAGTGCATCGATGTATCGAGCTGTTTGCTGGAAAACATGCGGTACGCCAAGGCCTTGGCTGTACATGTCCTCAAGGGAGTTGTCACTGAAAAGCAAGTCCACTGCAGTCAATTCGCCGCGAAAGATCCGGTTCAGATTGCTTGCCACTCGCGCGAGTAGTCTTCCTTCTGGGCCCGAGACTCGAACTTCTTCAAGCAACGTATTGAAGTACACACTGTGATTCCTACGCCCTATCCACGACTCTGTAGAGGCATTCTTGGCCGCAGCCAGGCAGCTTCTGGCCCAGTCTAGGTAGTGGCGCAATTCTGCCTTCTCTAAGGTGGATTCTCGACCAGAAAAACTGTCAGAGAGGCGTGACATGGCGAGATAGCACAGAGCATCCCTCTTCCTTGTCATTGTATCATCCGGAATGTACAAATCTTGGTCCGTTGAGCACCATCGCTCAACTTCCGTTCTGTCAAGTAGATCGAGATCAGGCTTCGTGTCAATATGATAGCACAAGCGCTGATGTGTATTTCCTTTCGTCGAACTGTTTTCCAGAGATGCAACAGCGGAGGTGTGCCAGGATGCAGAAATACAAGGCTTCCCGGACGCAACATGGACAGCAACCGCAGAGGCTTTTACATTGCGAAAACCCTCTGATTTCACTTCCGTGAAGATGCGGACTTGTGGATCGGACGCAGAACTCAGGGCATCAGAAATCCAGAGACTGTCTAATCTCGTTGGAACCAAAGTCGGAATTTTGTCTCGGCAGCCTCTAGAAAGAGCGGGGACGATGAGCTGAAAGATCGCATCCAAAGCAGCAGGGTGAATGGCATGCGGAACCAGACTTGCTTCAGGCAATTCTTGTTTCCAGTGTTGGAGATTCGCAACAGCTGTAGTCTTCCCTGCATTGTCGTGCTGAATCTCTTGCAAGGATCGGAACGTGGGCCCATACGCAAGGCCCATGGCACTGAGATACTCATACAGTTGTTTGGAGTCCAAGTGCCTGTCACAAGTATCAAACCGTTTAATGTCACCGGTGCTCAGTTCGTCATGGCTGCTGTCTGAGTGGTCAACCCATGCAGCTTCACTTGTGGTCACCTCATGATATTCCGAAGAAATAGATCCACGACAACACTCTGCCCAATCTTCGTTGTCCAGCATGTACAGAGAAAATTCGCTCCAAGATGATAGTTTTCCTGAGCTATCCTGCGGGCGTCGAAGATGGAACTCCACCTCAACCTCCAGGTTCTGTGCTTCTGGGGATACACTCAAAGCCCTGGAAAATACCACCTCTCGGAACCTGTAGGCGCGAATTCGGGCGCGAGATTTGGAGACTTGGCGCAGGGCTTCCATCGCCATTACCAGCATGCCAGCAGCAGGACAGACGTCCAAACCATTCACCTTGTGACCAGCGACCCAGGGATCTTCACCGGGTCGGATATAGTTCCGCCATTTCGCCTGCAGCGGGTTCCAGTCTGGTACCGGAGACCCAAGCAGATCATGACGTGGGAATTCGCGAAATCGTATGTTCTTGCTCAACCTACTTTCATGCCAGTATTTCTTGGTATGATTGAATGGATACGGTGGCAGGTCTGTGAGCAGCCCTACCTCCCTCGCAGAACCGAAACCGTTGACTTTGGAGATGTCCACGGAAAGGCCCAAGCAGTGAAGGGTTCCCATAGCCTCCAAGGCAGTGTCCAGTGCGGATTGATCTCGCCGAAGAATTGATTGGTAATAAAGAGGCAGGCCCGGACGGGTCTCGGTGAGAATCTCACGCAGAGGGCTTCGCAGTGCAGAATGCGGACCTATCTCCAAGAAACAGTCGATCTGGTTTGGGCCCTCATCAGTCCAGCATTGCGTGTGGGCAAAGGCTGGTGATGTCATGTAGGATACTGCACCAGAGAAGTTGATTTGATTAACAAGGTTTTGAGTCCAGTATTCCGCCTTCTGGACCTCTGCATTCGAAACGAGTTCACCGGTGACCGAGGAAACCATGGGAGGATATGTTCCTCCGCAAGGTCCGGCCTCGAGCTTGTCGAGGAGATTCCTGTAAGGGCCTGCACCAGCCATCATGTATCGGGAATGATACGCAACATCCACATTAAGCTTCCTTGCGAAGATGTTTTCAGTGTCTAGCAGAGCCTTGAGCGTATCAATGTGCTTGATGGAGCCAGCGACCGTGACGTTGTTCGGACTATTGATACATGCGATAGATATCTCCCCATCACATGCATCTTCGGAGATCTTGTCAAGATACTGTTGAACGCGTGTAGCAGGCAAGCCAATCGCCATCATACCACACGGCCATGGCTGGGACTTTCTCAGCTGGGACACGATGACACCACGATAGAAGGCGATCCTGATCGCAGACTCGAGAGAGATGGCACCCGCGCAATAGGCGGCCGCAATCTCCCCGGATGAGTGGCCAACAACCGCGGAGGGCACGACCATCCAGGACCGAAGAAGATCAACGAGAGCGATCTGTAAAGCCACGCACAACGCCTGGCTCACGGCAGGGTCGTCGACTCTTGAAAGGTCCTTGTCCTTTCCAAGCTCGGCTTCTAGAGACCAGTCGCTGTTCAACTTTAATAGCACATCATCTGCAGCCTTGATGCTGGTTCGGAACGCTTCGTAAGCAAACAATTCGCGGCCCATCGCGTGCCATTGTGCTCCCTGACCGGTGAAAACAAACGCCAATCTTCTCGGGTCAGACCTCATGCTGTGGGACGGAAGTTGCTCCATCTTCGAGCACAGCTCGTCCAAAGAGCTGGCAATGGTAAAGGACCTCCACAGAAGATGGCTCCGTTTCTCCGACAGGGTGTAGGCGAGATTGTCCAGATATGCATCATCGGGCTGAACCGCTTTCATAGTTCCAAAGTGAGCTCCGTAGGCATCCGCAAGTCGCTTTATGCCGTGCTCATCGGCTGCAGACCAAACGAATAGCGATGGCTTCTTACGGACGATTGGCTGGCGGATGCCATTGTTGTTCAACAGTCCTTCGGGGCTTAAGCTTCCTGACGTCAGTGAGCACGTCTCGCCGTTAACGCGTGTCGTGTGTCGCCCAGAGATTTTACGAGCTTTCATGTAATGATAAGCATCGTCTAAGACGGCATGAGCATTTGCTCCACCAAGCCCAAAGGAGTTGACGGAAGCCCGCCGGACTCCTGCGTCAGGCCATGGCATTACGGTAAGGGGAAACTGGAGAATATCTCAGTGTCTTTATTTCTGTCGTATGGGAGTGTACTTACCTGTAAATTCCACTCGTCCGCTTTGATTTTCGGACTGAGCCTCTGAAAATTTATATTGGGAGGTATCAGACCTCGCTCGAGTACCAAGATAGCCTTAATCAGCCCAGCCAAACCTGATGTGGCTTCCAGGTGACCGATGTTTGTTTTGACTCCACCCACAATGAGTGGCGCATCTCGTTTGACATCCTGGAAAGCGGCACTGATTGCACTTGTCTCGATGAAGTCCCCCAATGGAGTGCCTGGACTCAACGGTAAGAGACAGAAAACCCTCAAACAGCGGACAGAAAGGTCTTACCAGTGCCGTGTGCTTCAAAATATCGCGTCCTAGCCATGCTTAGTCCACCATTCTTGTAGACTTGTCGAATTAGCTGCTCTTGGGCAGCAGAGCTGGGTTGCGTGATCCCGCCGGGAGTTCGACCATCTTGATTCAGACCCGTTGATCGGATGACTGCTCTGACAATGTCGCCATCCTGCAGCGCGAGACTTAAGGGCTTAACGACGACGACTGCAACTCCTTCTCCGCGGGAGTATCCGTTGGCGCGGTGATCGAAGGTGCGGCATATGTTATCGGGAGACAAAAAGCCGAGGTCGGCCATCCCGACCATCGATTGTGGATCGTAAATGAGGTTGCTTCCAGCAACAATTCCCTATAGCAGGTTGAGTCCATGCATTCAGAGACTTTTTGATACGAAATGCTCACCATAGTAGACTCTCGAAGGCGCAGGCTCTGACAAGATAAGTGTAGAGCGTGCAACGTGCTCGAACAAGCTGTGTCCAGAGTGATACTTGGGCCCGTGAAATTGTAAAACCAGCTCAAGCGGTTGGCCAGAAGGGCCTGCAGAGTACCTGTGTTCTTGTACGGAACCTGCATTTCCGCGTCGCGGCTGATGAGCAGCTCATGGTCATGGTGGAAAGACCCGACGTGGACGGAGGTATTCGAGCCCATCGCCTTTTCAAGAGGAATGCCAGCTGATCAGAACGAATTAGCGGGCTTTGATGATCTCAGTTCTACCGGGAATGCTTTACCATTCTCTAGGGCTTGATAAGTGGTCTCCAACAGGCATCGTTGTTGGGGGTCCAGGGACGCAGCCTCCATGGGGTTCATGGAAAAAAAGGGGGCATCGAAGCACTCGATATCTTCTTTAATGAAGTGACCGCCTCTGATATTCATCTGAAGTTGGCAAGTTCAGCCATGCACGGAAGTGCCAGGATGTTAACGCTCACCGTGCCGACATGCCGCTTGTCTGGGTGATAATAAGCGTCGATGTTCATCCTGTTCTTCGGAACTTCCGTCATGGCGGATCGCCCATCCAGCAACATCTGCCAGAACGACTCCTGCGAGGAAGCATCTTGAGGCAATTTGACCCCCAGTCCGATGACAGCAATCGGTTCCAGCCTATCCTGCTCATCGTCGATCAGGGGCATATGGTCACCGAATCCGTTGGATCCATTCTGCTCCGAGTCACCATTCGTGGCCTCGGTTGTCGAGTGGTTGGACATTCTCGCGAGAGATTCGGCCATGTCGTGGTCTGCAAGGCCGTGTCTTGCCCCATATTGCGAGGTCTCCGCGAAAGACTCCATATCTTTATGATCCTTATTGCGTGCTGGAGGCGTCCACAGAGGGCAGGGCGTTGTGATGACCTTCGACCTCTGGAACGCATGCTGGCAGTGATATAAAGTTCATGACTGGAGTTCCCATAAATAGTCCACAATCGCCTCCCCTCACCTCGAGCGGCCTATTCAGCTGAAATTGATGTACGGAGTCCATCCGGTGTCGGGCAGACGTGCTTATTCACCGAAGAACCTGCATCCGAAGCCGCAGCTGCGTCGTCTGGCGGATCGTGCCGCTCCAGCATCAACTCATGTTTCTGGAAATTGGCAGGTGGGAACTGAATATAGCCAGAACAAAGGCTACTCGCCGTGGCAGCCGCGAAGGCTATGGCTTGTGGTGGATATGTCGCTGTGCCGTCCTGCAGGCGAATGTCATCCTAGTCTGATATAATCCAGACCGTCTATTTTCTGTAACTGCAGTGCGATCGACCGACCTGCCAAATGGAAATAAGTTAAGCCATGGTAATACAAACCGTGTTGGCCATTCGATTTCCTCAGGGATGGGCCTTCACCTCCAGCAAGGGCAGGCTGAGACGTCACAAAACAGGATAAGACAAGGGGGCGAGAGACGATTATTCGTCAGTTGTAGCATGGGGTAGCTATTGGGAAGGTCACACAGGCAAGTCACATTCAGTCTGCAGTGCATATTAAAATAGGGTCGTCGTCGAACCACATCCAGTCAGAGGTAGGACAAAGGTTGTCATTTCAGCCCCAGATGTTGGCGGTTGGAATCCCGATGACCTTCTCGTCAATTTCGAAATCCATCAACCATCTGGCTGAGCCTGTCACAACAGCTGGGTCCTCTAGACCCATAAAAGAAAGTTGTACAGCGAAATGAGAGACTTTCGACTGCGAAAACGGAGAAGATTCGACGATGATCGCTGCAACGTCTTCCTGCACATGCAACCAACCGTGGGCCCCAGACATCATGGTCGCCGGGGATAAACGGTGTTACGGAAAAGTCCTTCCTACCTACCGCGCCGAAACGTAGGCTGGGCCTGACTATCTTTATGGTAGAGTTTCATTTAGCTTTCTTCAGCTTCTGGTTGTGGAGTGTTTCTGATCGGAGATTGTTTGCGCCTCCTTCTGGACTAAAACCCAAGGCGTCGCTCGACATGCCATGAGGAACGCTTGTCATCTCGTGCATCCTCTCGATAGAAACAGCTCTGAAAGAAGAGGGCTTCATGCTATTCTATTCATATCTCCTCCTACCTTTGACGCTCCCTGCTTCTCTCTGTTGTACCTTATAGTCGCATCATGGCGTCCGTGGACTACTGGGAGTACGAATCCCAAGGTCTTGGCCTGACGATTTCGATGATGGTCATTGCCACCTTATCAGTCATACTCCGCTTTGTCGCTCGGGCGAAGAAGAAGACCGGCTGGGGTGCCGATGACTGGATGATTATCCCTTCGCTGTTATGCTTCTATGGGTTCACCAGTGTCAACATTTGGGGTGAGGAGCCCAGGCCTTTTGATCTGGCTAGATACCTGATCCTAGTGCGCCTTAGACACGACACAAGGAGGCATTGGAATCACTCCCGATTTATTACCGCCCCCTCTGGCCATTTCTTTAGGGAAGGTCTGGCAAACCCTCCCCTCTAGACAACACTGCTGAATGTCGGAACAGGCCTTCTATATCGAGCCCATCTTTTCGGTGCCGGCGATTTGCTTTGCAAAACTCAGCATCCTTTGCCTCTACTACAGGATCTTTTTTGTTTCGCGGACATTTTGCAGATGGACCCTCATCGTCGGGGCCACCGTTGTGATCTGGATGATTGCCTGCACTGTCACCACCATCCTGCACTGCCTCCCGCAGGAGGCCCTGTGGAATCCAACCATCCCGGCTCGATGCATCAACTTTGTTCTCTTCTTTGAGATCATTGAGCCCATCAACTGCCTCCAGGATGTCGTGATTGCTCTCATGCCTTTCGGCGTCATCAAGCAATTACATCTAGATCTGAAGCAAAAGATCTCCATTGGCCTCATTTTTTCCATAGGCAACTTGTGAGCATCATCTGTTCGCGAGGATCATCCCTCTTATGCACTCACTCACGGGCCACAGGGTTGCCGTCATCAGCTTGATACGGATCGTCCTGATCGCGAATCCCACAGCTTCACCCGGTATTTTTTTTCCCCCTCAAGATTCTCGAGGGATGTGCTCCTACTGACCGACAGCAGACGCAATTCTTACCAGCAACAACTGGCTGGTCGCGCAGCTTTGCATGGCGATCCTGTGCGCGAACTTCTTGACGTATCGCCCGCTCCTTCCGCAGCACCTCGTCCCGAGCCGCATTTCGACGTGGTTCAGTTGTGTCCTGGCCAGCTGGAGGTCCACCCATCGTAATTCAGAGGTGTATGACCTTGGCAAAAATGCGTGGCCACGGGCCGCGCGATACAACAATATTGACAGGAACGGAAGTGAAGGCACTACACTCACCCTTTGCGTGGCCGGCCCTGAATCGCAGAGCGATTATCCCCTGAACGCCATCAGAGTTTCAAATACCCTTGAGGTGGCCTAATACCACGCAATCAGGGAAGGTGGCCTTCTTGCAGGTCTCTCACGGTAAGTTTTGCCTTCAGATAGAGATCCTGTCGTCGACGTTCTCCTTCATCCGGAAGCGATAGGCGGAAAAGAGGTGATCTCTACCAGAAAACTCCAGTTAGTATAATGATCTTTATCCTGATATTGTACAACAAACCGGGAGATAATGACCGCGCATATGGCGATGAAGTATTTTCTTCCCATAGCCTTCAATTGTCCCTGTTTCTGTTCCTATACCAGGCCAGTTATGGTCTCTTCTACCTGTAATTGTTGCTCGATAGGATTATCTGTATGATAAGTTAGACCAAACATTGTATAGAGTCTCCAGAATGTCCCAAGAGTAAGCTCGAAGCCTCAGATTGTAGCATTTGAGAAGATCATCCGATCCTAGCGCGGACTTCATTTGACATTGGTGTAGAATTTCGTTTGCAGGACTGCAGTGGGGATTTTATGACACGCTCCTCAACTTAAAGGTGATGGTTCTCTTGAAGATGGGATGCAATAGCATTTGAAGAGGCGTTGTTCTAAAGGAGAGACAGAATTTCAGCCTGAGCCACTCTGGCTTGCCATGCGCTATACGCATGGCGGGGCTGGCACTCACGACTCACGGGCGTAGATCCCATTTCGCCCCGAAGCGACAGGACGTCGATCAACCGCTAAACCGGAAAAGAGAACAAAGCCATGCGAATCAACATGGCTTAAGGTGAGAATGTATGGTCTTGAGCTCGTGAGCTAGTTGTGATTTTGGCCTGTGAGAGAATATCTTTGATCCAAGATGTGCATGCAAAAAAAAGGATATTACAGGGATAGTCAGGCCAAAGGAAGGCTCCAGTCATGCAGAAAGAGTTGACTGTGCCATCAATAGATGCATAGGATCTGGGAGAGTGAGGCATCATACTTTCCTGTTTGCTCTGCCAATGCTTGAAAGACTTCTCTTATCAGTTGATAGTGTCCTCCAGAATTGTCGTAACAAAGCACCGTATTCTGGCCATGAAAGCAGGAATGCCGCCAAGAGAGAGACTCTGTGGTCTGACTTCATCATTCTTTTTTTTTGTTTTGTTAACAGAGACTGGGCAGTCCAGTCACGTCTTGAAATTATTACTATCACGTAAAATATACAATATGGACTGGGCTGAAGCAGGCCTGACCAGCCACGCTTTGCAGGGTCTTGAGCGAGCAGCACCTTCCGGGTTTGATTGCTTCTGCAATTTCTGTCTTTCACATATGCCTGTTGTTTGTAGGATCATGTTTTGTTCTTTGCTTGTGAATTCTTAGTCCCAACTGCCTACTTTCTCTTTTGCTCTTCAACTTCACTCAGTAGTTATTAGGCGGGGCTCTGACTGAGCGCATCATACCCCCAGCCTGGTAGTATACCTGTTGTCGGCAGAATCCCAACGTTTCACAGACTAACTGACCACTCTTCCAGGGCTCGAGCTTCCCCTTCTTCCTTTCTTGCTCCTATTTCCTCCCCAGCAGGGCTTGCCGAAGCCAAACACATTCAAATAATCACAACACAGAGCTGCCATTATGCAACGCCTTCAAGATCTCCCGGTCGAAGTCATTCTACTCATCTACCACTCTCTCGACGACGTCGACGATGCCTTACACCTCGCCAGAACCTGCAAGAAGCTCAATTTGATCTTTGATAGTACTGCAGCACGGGTCGAGATTTTCCGTTCGATCATTGTACGGTCTTTCTTCGCACGCAATCTTGTGCTGAACCAATGACTGACTTCTGGGATAGAGCAATGCCCCTCACCATAAGTACGATGTTCAATTAACCTGTCTGCAGAACCTCGGAGTGACCTACGTGTCAGTAATGTATCCCACTCGTGGTTCTTCCAATGTTCCGGACGATGCTCCACGGCCCACCGCATGCGAACTTGAGCCGATACTCACAGCAGAAAGATATCCAGAGGATTTAGCAGAGGAGGAGGTCTGGGGAATCGTCTGTCGGTGGCAAGGGATGCGTTGTCTCTTTGACCTTTACTGCGATGCGGCAATCTACCCAGTCTACCTGAATTCTGTGTTCCCTTGGTGGCACCAGCGATCGCATGAGCAGGGCAAGACTCATCTAGGGCGACGAGCCACTTCCCTCGCTATTAGGCTCAGCGACAGAGGCACTCCAGACGTTGACATCAAAGCAGAAGCAGGCAGCATATCGACGGTTCTATAAGGCTTTGGTCACGCATTGGGTCGCCATTGAGCACCTGTCGATTGCACGAGCGGTGGCATACCCAACCGCCAAGGAACGAAACCTTCACATGAAATGGGTGCATGAACTCTGGCGTAACAATCGCGATCGGCCTTTACAGGACAAGCTAGACATTGTGGAAGTGGCTGACTTTGTATGGGAATTTCTCGCTCGAAAAGTCTTCGACACCACTCATCTGGGTGTACCCTTCCACGAGTCTCGGCTGCGAAAGCTGTATCTACGTCCTCCACATCTGATCGAGGCTCTTATTCTGTCAGCGTGGCCATATCCGGATTCATTCAGTGACTCGTTCGGCATTCTGGAAAGTCCGAGCTTTCACTACGACAAGACAGGCGTTATTACCGGAAAGGAGGCTGATCAGGGTGGGGCAGATCATACCAATTTTAATAGTGATATTGATCTGGAGGATGACGTGGGAAACTCCTTGGTCCGCTTGCAAGACGAGGATATGAGTGCAACGAATGAATTGCGATCCCAGCGGAAACTTGACTATCGGTTGGGATGGTCGTCCTACCGAAGAAGGCAGTGGAAGACGGACGACAGAGGCAAGGTCTTGTTCCGCACGGACACTGATGAACTACTGACGGAGCGAATTGCGGGGAAACCTAGTCACGGTGGCCTTGCAACAAGTGCTGTCAAGACTCGATAATGAGAGTAAAGGATTCGATTAACAAGAAGGAAAGGGATGAGTGCGTGCTCTATATTGTCAGCCGTCAGCAGAGACGAGCATGGTCTATCCGGCCTTTGTCCTGAACTTTTTATTACAGAAGCCTTCTGTACATGATTCTTGTCAGAAGACTTGACATGATAGGTAAGTCAGAATATCGTTCAAAAATCTGCGAGCAGCTCACTCTTGCCTCACCTAGACACTGCGACTTTAGTGAGTTCAGGTAACAATCAACTCATCCATTCAAGGTGATTTACTCACCCGGCTTCATTTATACCCATAAAAAAAATGTTCTTTATATCAATTGCATGACATGATAGAGTGAAAGAAGAAACTAAGGAGAAGGAAGATAGAAGGTTATCAGACCAAAGAAATATTTTTAAGGACAAAAATCTAGGAGGAGGGGGTAATATTATACTGACAGAATAGGGAGCTATCTAATATCGCAATATATAATCAGATATTACCTTACAAGAACATACTTTTACAGATAAGGGCGGATATTAATTAGAGATAAGGATGATATGCTAAATATACCATTGAGGCTACCGGGCGCGCAATTACGCCAGCACAGCCTGAACCTGGGCAGGGGCAGGCTGCAGGGCATGCGTTAGCCTTGTTTTCTCTTGAATATTCTTGGAGAAGCGTCTTTTCTCGCTTGGCGTGTCCTCTGATTCGACCGCCACGCCAGCCTCGTCTTATCGTCTCTGCGGGGCGAGCCTTGTTGCGGCTCTCCAGCTGATATCTGGCTTGCTGCTGGCTTCTCCATTCTGCCTGTAACTAATGCTTCCAGACAACTACGCTTTGTATTGCATGTCAGAGATGTCCGACGGACAGATCCGACCATGTCGGAGCGACAAAATGTGACGTTGCAGAAACCACCACCACTGCATGAAACGAGACATGGCATCACAAGAGTCATCCTCGAGGAATTCAACAATGTTACGCAACGGTCCGACGACCCTCCCAAGTCCTTCATTTGCCATTACGACCTGAAAAAGATATGGAAGGACAAGGACCGCATCAAGGCCGTGCTTCACCCAGACGATATCCCCCCCAGTATTCTCGATGTCATCCAAAAGACCATGTTTACGATTCTGTCCGTCCTCGTGTCGATCGGCGCCCAGAACTGCCTGGCGGAATTCCGCAAGCGACTCTTCGAATCCAACGGCAGATATCCACGTTTCACTGACAGTGACATACCGCTGGAACGGGACAAAATCGATTTTCTCGCAGAGGAGCCCGCTCTGCTGCAGCAGTTCTTCGAGCAACAGCACAAGTTCAGTCCGGTCGTGATCAGTCTCGAGGAATTACAGACATTGAGGGAATATGACCCACTCCGACGCCTTCCTTTTGAAACCATAACAGAAAATCTTGGGTCTGGTGCTTTCAGCGACGTCAAGCTGGTCGGAATCCCGCCGAGGTATTTCAAAGAAGTGGGTGGATCTGACTACGACCAGGTAAGGGCCAGCGACTCCAGAGCAGAAAATCTATCTTGGCTGACAGAAGCAGGTCTACAAAGTCGCTTGTAAGAAGATCCACGTGGACAAGAACTTCAAAGAGGAAGTGGACACCCTTCAGATCTTGAAGGAGAGCCTGACGAGTCAGGACCATATTCTCAAACATCTGGCGACGATCAAGCATGGGTTTGATCGGTACATCCTCCTCCCATACGCAAGCTTGGGCGATCTGTACCAGTTTTTGCACTGCGGCAGAGACGTGGACGACGACTACGACAGTCGGAAGTACAATTTCAAGGACCGGTTTCGAGAAATCCCAGATCCTGGAAGTGGCGATGTTTCCCGACCGCTGCTGAAGCAGTACCGGGCTCTTGCGGGCGCGCTGAAATGGTTACACAGCGGCCTCGACATTGAATCCAGCAGCAACTCGAGCACCGTCTACTGCGCCCACATGGATCTCAAACCGGACAACATTCTGATCCAGCCTGATGGTAATTCGATTGTGGGGAAATGGATGATATCCGATTTCGGTATCTCCGTGGTCCATGAGAATAAACGCACGAAGAACTCGAATATCGTCTCGGTTCGGGACTGGTATGAATGGTATGAACGACACTCTCCCACATTCACCTTAAACACGCAGCCAAAACGGAATAGCGGCACTTATCAAGCGCCAGAGGTCAAGTTTTCGGAGCAGCGGCAGGAGCATCCTGTGCGCCCGGCAGCCGGTCAGCAAGGAGTCGGGCGGAAAAACGATATTTGGTCTTATGGCTGCATATTTAGTGAGGTGCTTGCCTGGGCTCTCGGGCGAGACGGCGAAGTCGAAAACTTCCATCGTGAGCGGATGAGAAACCGCGGTGACGATTACTTTTTCGATTCCAAATTCCTCGGTCCGCAAGGTGGTCCGGACCAGCAGTTCGAGGTCCGACGATCCGTCATCGACTGGCTGAATCGGGTACGAGACGAATCGAGGAGTCCTCACAAATGGGTTCGTTGCTGGGCGGACACAATCAAGAACATCCTGATTGTGAACCCTGCAGCCAGACCAAGCGCAGAGCGACTCGTAGACCTCGTCGAACATGTCAAGTATCACGAGGCGCACTCGAGAGACAATACTCCGATCGAGTGTCCCTATCTGAGCACGTCTGTTCGAGAAGCCCGAATGGATTCGGGCAGTGAAGTCAGACCAACGCCTTCTATCGCGGTGGTTGAGCCTGAGCTAAAACCTCAGAGTCAGCCTGTCCCTAAGCCAGTGCCAGCACCAGTGCCTAATCCTGAGCCTGTGTCTAAGCCTGAATCGGAACCTGAGCCACATCGAAGCCGATCGATGCGAAGCCTATCGACGTACAACACGAAACCGCCTCACGCACATGGCATCTTTATCAACCCAAACACACCGACTGCGCCCACGGCGCAAAACCCCGTTTGTTGGAACCGGGTAAGAGGTGTCGTGGTCGACGTTGCCTTATCTCATGAGAAAGAAGGAACTGCAGTGGCATTTTTGATGGAAGACCTTGTTCAAATCTACAAGATCAGTCTGCAGGATTTCTCCGTGACTTACCATCGGAAATTCGAACTTCCTCGTCCCTCGAAATGGGAACATGCCCAGGTATCATTTGCCGGCGGAATGCTCGCAGTTTGGGGGTATTGTGCGCAGCGGAAGAAAAAATTGGTAATGTTCTGTTCTACACCTACTTAGTTTGCGATCTGTCCTCACTTTGTATAGCTCTGTCTCCGCAACGTCGATGAACCCGGAACAAATCTCGGACCTCCCATTTCAGAAGGAGTCGAGATGCTGAAAACCGTCGCAATATCACCGCAAGGGGTTGTTGCTTTGGTCCGTCGCGAGGATATCGTGATTAAACGCGCCAAGTAAGCTCCTCCTCTTATCTCGGAAGGAGGTTCCTCTAAAGCATGCTAGTTCTGATGATGTGCGATTATCTCCGCGACCGAGGCAGAAATTTGCTCACGCGGCTTTCAATGATGTTGGCAATCTGTTATTCGCCTGGGCGTATGACAAGACGGAGTCACTCTACGTATGGAGGGTCAATAACGGAGTCATCGAAACGGTGACCGAGTCGGAGAGTCACTATCCTTCGGTGAGTTTGCCATACATTTCGATTACCCTACTGACAGCTAACCAAGTGTGTCTGTGTAGGAGGAAAGAAGCCCGTCCACCACCAAGGTGATCCCTTACAACACGTATCACGGATGCATCATCGCCGCTCCGGAGCAGCGGTTTTTTCCAGCGCAGATGCGAAGCTCTCTGATCGACAATAACGACGACACGCAGCTGCTGCTCAACCGCCACGACATCCGACTGAAAGATGTGCAAACGGGGTGTGTGTTCCAAGACCACTCCTTTGTCGCTCTGGAGAGGAAAACAGTCCTATCGATAAGGGGCCTCAAGGACAGCTTCTGCTTGAAAGAATACGAGATCGAGTATCAAGCGCATCATTTCTTGCAGCGTCAGGGGCCGGAGTTGTGCAAGCTTACTTCCAGAGCGGAGAGCGCTTCGCAGTTGAGAGTGTTGGAATGCGGTGCCGATTTGGTGGCCGTGGTCTGTTATCAGGACGGGGAGATCGAGTTTGTGAGGTTTTCCCATTCTGGATAGGATATAGAGCAGTCTGTATTCTTCTATTTGATATAGTTTACAATTTCTATATAGCTATTAATTATATATATCATATCGTCCTGTTCCTTACGGCCAAGCATGGCAGTTCGTCTAACATGTACTTCCGTCACGTCCAAGATGCTCGCAATGTCGGTGTTATCCAACCTTTCCGACAACGTCAAGTTCGTTCTGTCCAGCTTCTTCGCTGCTGTGGTGGCGGCGCCCTTTATTAGGACGCTGAAACAAACGAAAAGGCTTGCCTTTCCACCAGGCGTCGAACAGGACAATCAGAACATAGATCAGACCGGTAATGACGGTGAGCGGCAGCCATGTCGCCAGGAAGATCCAAAAATCCTTTGCAATCACGATCTGCCGCGCATCCTGGTCGAAGACGAAGAAATTCATACCGTAGAGGCTCACGACAAAACTCCCCGGTAGATACACTGCCGAGACGAAAGTGATGATCTTGACGGCAGCGCTGTCATCGACACTGTCCTGTTGCAGATCTTTGAGCTCGTTGGTGACGTTGCGCAGCTTTTCTGTTAGGTCGCGCAGTTCCTTGTCAACCTGGGCGGTTTCGAGCTGGTTGTGCAGTGTTAACGTATACCCGACCTGACGCGTGTTAGCCGTTATCCTTTCTCTCTCTCAGTTCTCTTCTTTTTAAGGGAGTTACCAAGTCAATGGTGTTTCGAATCCGAGGCAGCAATGCTTCACAGCTTTCGATATACCCCGCCAAGGCGGTTTCGAAGGAGACCAGCTCATTCGTCTCGTCGTCAACGCTCTCCTTCAGCTTTCGCACCACGTCGAGATTGTTGCTGCAGCATGCCTGCGCTTGATACGCCCAGTCGTTGACATTGCGCAATTCGGTCACTCTTTTGAAGCTTTCGTTTGGATCGGCCTCGTCGGGCTGCATGGTCATGGCCGCGTCGGTCTGTCGGGTATTATCAACATTAACTGCAAACACAGGGATGTCTTTAGGGAAGTCTTTATACCGCGTCATTAAACCTCTCGCCCAGATACCGCAAGTACCATCGCCAGTTGTCCAGGAAGGACGACAGCACCAGCAAGTGCAGGCGCTCCGGGTCCGGCATGTCAGACGTGCTTGACGACGTAGCGAGCGGCGTTTTGGAAGGGTCAATGCCCAGCCATTCTAAAACCTGGGCGTCGAGAACACTGCTCTGATTGGGATGCAGAAGGACGAAAAGATCGAATTGCAACGGATGATCGTCATGCTGATGCTGATGGTATACCCCTGTATGCCGGAAGGACCACGGGTTATGCGGGTCTCGAAAGTTCTCCTCAACGTAATTCATCTGATATGAAATATCTGTCGCCATGATGCCATCTTTTAGCGTTTGCATTGGCCAAGCACGATGCTTTGACTCACGGGATGACGGAGCTCCTTTCCTCTGTGATGAAGAAGAGCCGGCCGAAGAATGGCTACTCCCTGCCTCTGCAACATGCGGCTCTTCGCCAAACGAGAGAAGCACGTGAAGGAAATCCGGATGGACCTTGTGTCGTCGTAGGATGTGGCACATGAGTTCCGACGTGATCATCAGCGGGCGGATGGAGTTTTCGGAGTAGATTGAGCTGGAAGGAGTCAGCAATTGTATCGATAACCCTTAAAAAAAAAAAGAAATGACTTGCATTATCCGCATACGAGTATCTTCATAGCCAGCATCCACAGCGCGAGCGAGTTGTGTCGCGTCGTTGTAGACGGTGGATATCACGGTCCCTAAAAAAGCGATGGTCAGAGTTATGCATATATGCATAGCCTGATCACCATCATCTTTTTTTTCCTACTCACCACTTCGACTAAGATCAGTAATTCGCACATGAACCTTTCCTCCTCTCCTCAAGAACACGCGCTTCTCGCGATTTTCCAATCGCCGCTTCAGGATCGCTCGGTTGATTGACGTTGCGCTGCGACGGGTCGCTTCGGTTAGATAATCGGTCCATGAGGAAGAAGACGAAGACATCTTTGGGGACTTTCTCTCGTTTGTTTTTTATTTATTTTTATTTTTTTAAGTATACCGACAGTGGCATTTATCTTTTATTTATTTATTTCTGTAGTCACTTTCATGTCTATCGGTCTTCTGGGCGAGTGCGCCTGGTCTGGCTGAGCCCTGAGCGCCCTTGCAACTTGCAAGGTTGCTCGTATCGCCAGCCACGGGGATTATAATCAGCCTGATATCACTCCCTGGACAGGTGCAGGCAGAGGGTGCATGCAATCTGCACAGCCCGGACAGCATAGCCCGACAGCATGACCTACGTAGCAGTAGCAGTCATACTCCGTAGTCGCCGATTAGAGCATTAATTAATTACGCACATGCAGCAGGGCGGGGAACGGCAAAGATTCTCCATCTCGAATCAGATCACTTTTTCAGCACGCGCTAAGGCATGATTGTCATCAGCTAGCTGCCCACCCTGGCTTGTACAAGCCGCTTGAGCCGCCTCGCCTCAGCTCGCCTCCCTAGCCAGCCTTTCCCTCCTGTTCAGCCGCACGCGCATCGGCCTCCTTCTTTCGATCCAGGATCTCGAGGGTCATGTCTCTTTATTACGTACGTTATTTTCTTGTCATGCATACTGTGGATTTGCCGCTTTTTTTTTTTTTAACATACCTCAGCTCTTCCTACCGAAGCCTTAGCACGCCCTCCCAGGAGTATATAGATCAGCACTCACCGATGTCAGCCTCTCCGGTGCTCGAAAGTGCCAGCGATCATTTTCATGCTGGTCGGAACAGTCAATATCCAGCACCATAAAGGGTAATAAGAATAACTGACAGTAACCTTAAAATCGATACCCTCGCCATACCTCTCCCTCAGGTAGGCTTGTAACTCGGGCCCGAGACCGGCGTACTTTGCGATTGCGGGGTTGAGGACGTTCTTGTAGAGCTTTGTCATGGCAGGTACATTAGACGAGATCAAGGAGTGTCTGTCCTTCCTGAGCAGGCTGAGGTTGAGGTCTTCCATGCAGATATATAGAAGAAATTAAGGAGTAGATTAGGTATCTATCTATCTATGCCCGAAAGGCAGCCAGCCAGTCCGGCCGCCTAGTCTCGATGAATTGTGATTCATCCAATTAATAAGGTCAGGGATCTTCAGCTGGTCAGCTGCCTCGTGGCGAGTCTAGGAAAAAAAAACATAAACTTGCGGGGGCATGTAGTGGGGTACTGTACATACATGCTGTTATCATCATTGGCAAGGCTGAGAATCCGTCCGTTAATAACTGCTCTCTCTCAAGGCATTTTATTGAAGTTTTTTACGCTGCACCCCGACCAACAAATCGTGAGGGAGTGAGCTGCCAGCTGCAAACCCAGATCATGGCGGAGCAGCGCCCGCCAGTCAAGTATCCAAAGCTCAGGTAAGTTGAGTTGAGTTTCCTCGAACGCACGAGGTACATACATACATACATACCTGATCCGTCGACTGATGTAACTGTCTATCTATCTAGGCAGACCCTCTACGGATTCCAGATCTTTGTAGGACCCCTAACCCTCCTCTCATCTCACCAGCATGACATTATACTGTTCTAACAGCAAGACAACCGATATGGATCACAGTTCATCGTCCTCAGCGCCGTCATCGGCGGCGGCATCTTCAGCAACAACGGCGAAGCCCTGGAGGTGGCCGGCCCCGCGGGACTTCTCCTGTCTGTCGGCGTGATCGGCATCGTGGCGATTTGCGTCGGCGAAAGCATCGCCGAGCTGGCGCAGCAGTTCCCCGTCTACAATGCCATTGTCGAGTATGTGCGCGTGTTTGTCGATGAGGAATTGGGGTGGGTTGTTGGGGTTGCGTATTGGTATACGTTCGCTTCCGTCTTTGCAGTCCAGAATCTCGCTGCTGCAAACCTGTCGCAGTACTGGGGGCTGGACCAGACCTGGCAGACGCTCGCGTTCTACATCCTGGCCCCGCTCGTCATTCTGATCCTCAACTTTCTCGGGGTGTTCTACTATGGCGTCGTCGAGACGATTGGCGGGTTTTTGAAGATCTGTCTTGTCCTGGGGGTCTCCATCTTCTTATATGTCATTGCTGCTCAGCGTGAGTTGTCTGTCCTGCCGTCAGTCAGTGAGCACGATCAAGGAATAAAGGCTAACCTTGCTTGTTTCTTGCAGATGGTCGAGGGGGGGAGATTGGCCGTAGGTGGTGAAGCGATCCATCCCATGCCGGACAGTAAATTGCTGACTGAACTCTTTCACAGCGATCAACGATGGCTTTGAAAATAAGACCCAATTTGTTAGCAATCATTCCAAAGCAGTTTGGTCAGTACTCTCCACAGACCCCGTCATATCAGGCGTGAGCTGATCTTTTTTTTTTTCTAGCTACGCAATCCCCCTCGTCGCCTACAGCTTTCAGGGCGTGGAGATCATCGCCTTGACCGCGTTCGAAGCCCGAGACGCTGCCGCCATCCGCTGGCCATCCAGATGGATTGCCTATGTGGTCGTGGTTCTATATCTGCTCTGCACAGTGGGCGAGGCGCTCAATGTCTGCTGGAAAGACACCAATCTGCCCTACATCTACAGCGGGGCGGGCAACAGCACCACCGCTTCTCCACCATTAAATCCGCCATCAAACAGCATGGTTATCATTGCCGCGTGGAAGTCCGGCAATCAGAATTTCGCCGGCTTTCTTAACGCCTGTCTCATCTTCAGTGCTCTGTCGGCCTCCAACACTTCCCTGTATGTCGGTTCCCGGACGCTGTACGGCATCACGCGCGAGATGCCCGACACGAACTGGTTCAATCGACGCATCAAGCGGTTGAGTCTGGTGGTAAAGGGGACTGGTGTGCCTGCTGCGGCCCTCCTCTTCTCGGCGGTTTCATTCTTCTGGCTGCCGTTCCTTCAGCTCAAGGGTGGATACGCTCTTGAAGACGTGCGTTGATTTTTTTTTCTTCTCTCTACCCCTTCTGCCCGATCAAGTGTTAATGACCGCAACAGCTGATTGAGATCATGTCCGTTTCCGCGAGTGTGGCCTGTCTCATCGTGTGGGCGGCCCTGTGTTTGGCCTTTATTCGCTATCAGCGATGGTGAGCTATTTCCTCCTCAATTTTGTCTGTTAAAACTGTTCTGAATGAACGACATATACAGGCTCAAAATCTGCGACGCCGACTTGGCCAGACTGTACCCGGAATTCAAGCGGGATTCCCAACAGTACACGCCCCGGACCTTCCTTGGCTGGCTCCAGCCCCTGGTCGCCTGGATCGGGCTGGTGGGCTGCATCCTCGTTTTCGGCTTTGCGAGCGCAACCTGGTGGGATACCCGCGTGAGTGTGACCAAGGTTGCAATTGCTTATGCGGCGGTAGTCTCCCCCTTCCCATGCACATTTATTTTTTTCTAATGTACAGTACTTACTTAATTATTAGCACATCGTCCTTTTCGTCCTCTTCATCTTCCTCAAACTCATGAACAAGAGACTGTTCAAGCCGTGGGGCGTGAAACTCGACTCGGATGTCCAACGCCTCGTCGAGGAATTGGATCGGTTGAATTATAAAACGCTCGATCCGACACCGTCTAGAGCTACCCATTGGTTCAGGACGAGGCTGCTGCGTTTGCGGGGAAAAGGCACACCGAGCAGAAACAATAATAATAATCCGGATGATAACGTGGCAGCACCGACAGCGATAGTAACGTCGAATGGACATGCTGTGGAAGGAGAAGGAGGAGGATCTGGCGGCATCCTTGTCGAAGGCAACAGAGGGGGGACGAGAGTGACTGTCACCGACACGTCGTCATTGTAAGCCCTAACTATGTACAGTACATACATGTTGTGCATGCATGGTTCGGCATGAGCCAAGGACTTGGCATAGTAGTCCAAAAGTTTCTTCAAGTCATATTTAAAAGGAATCTAAAGGGATTCGCTATTAGGTTATTGTTAATAGGATCTTGCTTTATATAGGTGATATAGCATATTCTGGACAATCTATGAATTGTTATTGTGAAGGTGGAACTATTTATAAGGCAGCTTCCTGGCTGACAATAGAAGGCAATACTATCAAACTGATCAAACTTACTTAAAGGAATACGCACTTTAAAGGTAAGAATACAGAGCTGTAATATAATGATGGTTGTTATTAGATTAGAGAACGAACCGCTCACGAGAATACTAGTGTGGTTTTTAAGTATATATATTATTTGTGTTGGCTAGTTATAAAATGAGATAAGTCGTACCAGCACTGATAAATGAGAATCCTCCTCAGATTCACAGCACCACAATTAGTGGCAGCGTTTAGGGCAGCAACAATATAAGGCTATGCAGATAAATTAGTGCTTCAGCTGAAGCATGGAAGCTTGAGCCAATGCAGTATGAAATCACCCCAGTTGCACAATCTCATGGCATTACTTTTCATTTTCAGAAAAAAAAACGCAGCATGTCCAAAACTGCAAACTGAGCCCTATTCCATTGTGCAGGCCAGGATTAAGGGCTTGCTAGAGTAATTTTCATTAATACTCTCAGCAAGATGTAAATAGCCTATAGATGCTTCTTGCATGCTATTCCAGTCTAGCCACAACCAGCTTTCCAACATAACGTAGGCAATAACTAGCCCTGAAGTGGGACAATAATAAGCAGCGGACAGTTCCGAGTCCGTATCACTTCGTGTAACATCTGCTCTACTCCGTATGCCCGACATCTTGCTTGCTGGTCTGTGTAACTAACCCCAGCAAATAACCCGTGCAATTTCTCCCTGGCAGCAGATGTGACTCGTCCTTGTGTTGGAGTGCTTGCTGCGCCGCATGACCGAAATAGGCTTAACGCCCACGAGACTTCGTGTTCTGTCATCCTCTACACAGCCTCTTATGAATAGCATCATCTTCTTACATTCGTCTCCAAGAGAGTATGCGCTCCTCTCGCTCCCTGAGCTAATTTCCGAAAAAGGTAATCACTTCTACTACTTTATTTGTCGCTTTCTAGCACTTCATCAGCCTCATAGCCCCACAGTTGATCAGGCCTAGACCACGCTTTCTTCCCCACAACAACGCCGGTCCGCAAAGAGGTTGACGACGACAGAATATGGAGGACACCGGATTTCCCAAACCGTACCCCAAAGTCAAGCGCCCAGCCCACCGCGAGAAAGAGATGAAAGTTCTGGCTCTGGGCATGTCCAGGACCGGAACCATGTGTGCGTTGGCCGCGGATTGAGCGAGTCGGTACTGATAGGTCAAACAGCTCTTTGCGTCGCGCTGAGAAAGTTGGGCTACACGAGCTACCACATGGCTGAATGCTGGCTGGATAGTGCCAACGACTCGATGAGCCTGTGGCACGAGGCTATCGAGGCCAAATTCAACGGCAAGGGCCGTAAGTTCGCGGGGGAGGACTTTGACAAGATGCTGTGGCGGTATGATGTACGGATTTCCATTGCTGAAAGAGGACTTCCTTTCTTGAGGTTACGTTGCGTTGCTGACTATCCAGGCTGTGACTGACATTCCCTGTATCCTCTTCGTCGATGAACTCCTCGCTGCATATCCCCATGCTCAAATCATCCTCACCAACCGTCCTGTCGAGATTTGGGTCCCATCCATCAAGCGATCCTTCTATACCATCCTCAGCTGGAAGCGCTGGCGACTCCTCCAGTTTTTGGACCGGGTAATTTCTCTGATCTGGCTTTTTCTGATCTACATCCGCTAACTGATACCTCTCCAGAGAGACGTCCATCACTATATTCCCATCCTACGCTCCTCCCTTACCGTCTGGACCGGTGGGAATTGGCAGGATGAGACCCGTCTGCCCGACGGCTATGCAGCACACTACGCACATGTGCGGGCCGCTGCAAAGGCGCAGGGGCGCGAGGTGCTCGAATTCCGAGTCCAAGACGGCTGGGAACCATTATGCCAGTTTCTGGGAAAGGAGGTGCCAGATGAGCCTTTCCCGCATGTCAACGAAGGCGACTGGGTCGTGGGGCTGCACTACACTATCTTTTGGATACAGTCGCTCCGCGTGGTCTGGAGAGTGCTGAAATGGACCGCGCCGGTTGCGGCGGCTGGAGCTGCCTGGTGGTGGTATCGACGGTAACTATGAAAAGACTGATCCCATATTCTCTGTATCCAATCGAATAGCAATGAAGGCTGTGTGCCCTACAGCAAAGATGATCTAAAGCAGTGAGCGATGTTTGACTGACGACGGCATTCCGCGTATATGTAAATGCATCAAGCATATTCTCCCCCTTTGAAACGGGTAAGTACTAAACAGTTTACAACTTACTACAATTATACTTCTTAAGCCGTTATTTTTAAGAATATTTCAAAGATATTTCCCTTTTACCCGTCCCTCTGATAGAAACCCGCCATTGCCTTAGAGGGATGTATATATACTCCTATGTAATCTATTAAGATTGTATAGTAGTTTGGCTCGTAGGTAAATTTCCTTACTCTCTACTCAGCTATTCAATGGCCTTACTGCAGAGTAATATCTCAGGATAAGTCGACCTTAGACTATAAATATAACTAACTTGACTGCATAATAGGCTGACATAATATAGCACTTCTAACTAACGTATTTCCCGGCTGTTTCGATCACCCGGTTGCTCCGATCACTAGAATACCCATACAAAATGCGTTTTTTTGTACGCTCATACCACAATGTCTATATTATATCCTAGCCTTTAATTTTAAAATCAGATTATATATAGGTATAACTACTTGTAAGAGAAATATAAGGTTAATATTATATATATTGCTTTTTTAGATACCTATTTAATTTACATAAAATTACACTGTATTTATATTATTCCAGTAAATAATAGAGTAGACTAC